AAAATGCCTCGAGCATATCCTCGGATAGTAATCCCGTGCGAAATTAGCTGTTCAAATATCCCCCACCGTGTAAGGAAACAAATATTCGTCTCCCTAAAAAAAAAAAAGTCTCGCGCGCGAAGAGAAATAACAATTTCAGTTACTGGAGAGCTCGACAAAGGGATCAGGAATTTTTACAAGTTTACCCCTCTCTAGGTAACTAAAAAAAAAAAAGGCTCAAGAAATAAATCAGGAATCATACAAATTTGCCGGTTTCCAATCGTTGCCACCTACGTGGTGACGTGGCAATGTCGATTTTTTAACACTTTCAGAATCGTCACCTGTTAACAGTCTGGCTAAGTAACGGACTATCGTTATCACCCCGATATGACCCGGAATGAACTTTCGTAGGATTTTTTAAACGACGTCCCGCAGGGTCCGTCGCGGTATTACAATGAACTGTCGGTACCGCGGTAAAGTACATCACCGTGGTACCTTTAACCCTTTCGTTACCTTGGACGAGATATCTCGCGATTCGGTAGTAGCGGATTAATGCTTTTGACGATAATTTAGCTTTCTAGCACCAATATTTTCACATTCTAGATGATTATATTTTATAACTAATTCTATTCGTATAGCTAAAACGAAGAAATAAATACAGCTACTACCGGGTCGCGAGATATCTCGTCAAAAGCGTTATCGGCCAGTATCGGGTCGCGAGATATCTCGTCAAAAGCGTTGATCGGCCAGTATCGGGTCGCGAGATATCTCGTCAAAAGCGTTAATCGGTCAGTATTGGGTCGCGAGATATCTCGTCCAAGGTAACGAAAGGGTTAATAAGGGAAACTTCACCATGCTCGAGGTCTTTGTAAGCTCTAAGCTTCCCGAGTAGCCGCGGCGTCCTGGGCCGTCCGGAAGTAGCCAGGGCGAATAATCGTCTCTAAAAGGGCCGGTTTCAGGCGGTTTCCTTCCCAGGGTCGACATCCGGGGAAGAACGCGTGGGCCGACCCCTCGGGGGCCTCCGGGTTCTCCAGGAAGTCCGCGATCAGTAGGTCCAATCAGCCAAGACCCGCGAGCTGCAAAATCAAGAGGACCCTCTCCCTTTCAATCCCTCCCGCCCCGTTGCGGAAAAAAGGATTACATTTTATTCCCTCCCCCCCCGAGAGAGCTCGGCGAGTCCTCCCTGAATTTCCCAGCTTGAAAATTCGATTCCTCGTTCTCGCCCGGCGGAATGAAAGGCCGGGTAACGCGGGCATAAGGATATTTTCGTCCTACCGCCAGCCGGGAGATATTAGATTTTTCCACCCGGCCGAGGTGAATCCCGCACCTTCGGTAAAAAGAGAGAGAGAGAGAGAGGGAACGACGTGTGCTCGCCCGATCTTATAAAAACCCGAGCTTGCCTATCAGGGATTCCCCTTGTCCGTGTGGGGGATTCCCGTCGAGGTTTTCGCAGCTCGAGCAACTTTTTCGGCCCTCCGCGTGTTCCCGCGGTTTGCCGTTTCCCTCATCGCCAGTATATTCGCCTCGCCCGTGTTTCTTTTACCCTCGTTCCGATAGGAGGCAATCCCAACTGTGGAAAGTCAAACAATTGAAACAATTCGAAGAATCCCGAACCATCGCCCTCTTCCACGGTTACCCGGGTATGAGAAATTCAACATTTCTTAGCACGTTAATAAACGGGAAATAACCAGCGAGTAATATCTCGCGGATATCAATTTCGTATATATATGGAATATTAATAATCGAAGCTCTGTAAAGAAATGCGATGTTTCTCCTTCTTAGACGTGTGGATGTTATTTTAGTTGTGCATATTTCAGACGAATTAGCGTCAACGTAGCAGTCCCTTATTCCTGATGCGGGATTACGTACGTGTCGGGGAAAATGAATTCCAAGGGAGGAATAAAATATATTAGGAGAGTCCGCGAAAAAGGGAGCCAAAGCCGGTATGCTCGGCCAATGTCATACGGTACTGGCGTCGAACGAGGCGTGGCAATCGTAACGTGTGGAGGCACCTTAATGTCCTTTGCATGGTTCCACCGCCCATCCTCTTGCTACCTTCCTCTCCCCCATCACCCGATCAATGCACCGCTGAATGTTCCCTCGGAGGAAGACACCGCGGTGACGTAACCGCCCAAGAAAAACCCTCCCCTCGCAAAAGATCCCCTTTGACCCGAGGTCAACCCGATGGGAAATTTAGGGCCCTTTAAGCAGTCGGAAATTTATGAAAACGCCCCAGCCCCCTAAACGTGCCCCAGCCGTTGCTCGTAAACTCAACCAAGAGGTGAATACCTTAAATGTAACGAATAACAATTTAAAAAAAAAAAAAGAAAAAACAACTAACGTTACAGAATAATGGCGAAGATTGATTATTTTCGACCAGGCGTACGATAATGGAATGCGGGGAGAAAGCGCATATTTGAAGAACAGGGCCAGACTGAGGTGGTGAGGTTGAAGGTAAAACCGTGTATAATTCTTAGAAAGGGGTTAGAACGGGCGCAATCAAAGGGTTTGAGGTTTGTGAATTCGCCCGGTGGAGGGGTTAAGAGGGGCATGGAAGCAGTGAGGCCAACTGTGCGGTACACAGGGAACACGGAGTGCGGCCCCCTGACACACATTGACTCGTTAAAATAACGACATAATGGCTAATTTAGCGATAATAAGCGCGAACCGTATCGTTCAAATTAGCGTCGAAGGTGAGACCTTACGGTAGCGACTCGTGTGCAAGTCCACTGCCAATTCGGAGCTCTAGTCGTGGGGCGTCGGCGCCATCTGGCGGATGGCGCGCGAAGCTCGTGCTCCTCCGCGAAAGATCGGGCTACCGGTAATGAAGGTACCTGCCTGGCCGTTTACCTTGCGAACGAGGAAAATTAATAACATTCCTTTAGGGTTCCGCGTACCGATTTTCCGTACCAAATGAGTCACCATCCATGCGTTTTATTTCTAGTAAGATGCAAATATCCGCGCTGTCATGTTTGTCGCTCTTATCGATAGACGCCAGTCCCAAAGGGCTCGCCCGTTTTTCTCTCTTTAATCGCTGAGTGCATAAATGTATGCACGTCGGCATTCGTCGGAGTCGCTGAGGTTAAACAAAAAAAGTGAGAGAGGAGTAAAGGAAAACGGGCCGCCGGCTAAATGTCGAGGAAGGAAATTAATTTTCTCGCTGGGGAATTTCGTGAATTAGTTACGCACACATCTACCATCTCGATGCGAGGGAGGAACACGCGAGAGGGTATTTTTCCCACTGCAGCTTTTCTGATTGAAAGGATACCGCAAATTAATGAAATTTTAATTGCCTATTATTTCCTAGAACGTGACAGATTGGTTAAAATTACATGGTCTTCCAAAGCAACCCCGAAGGCCAGATTCATCTCAAAATAGTACGTTAAGATTGTCTGAAATTTTTACCGTTGTTACTAGTCTCCGGGAGAATGGGATTTCAATTTACTCTTAAAAAAAAAAATTCGGAATAGTATACAAACAATATGCAATTATATTTGCAATTATATTACAGAAGTACATAAAATAAGGGCGATTATGTATTCCTCCACCCACGTCGAACCTCCCTTAAGGGGTTAAACTGAGTGCACGAGAGAGGGCCAGAAAAGGAATTGGGATAATTTTGTAAGACCGTACCGCGAGAGATTCTCTTTTTACGGTGCAGTCATAAAAAAAAAATTCGGCGACATATCTCAAAAACTCTCGGGCAAACTGTACATTCAGAAGTGATATTATCCCGAGCCGAAGGACGAAGCCCTGCGAGGTACTCTCGTTTTCATTGTCACTGCCGGTCTCATGTCGATGGAAAGAGACCAATAACCGTAATGGACCAATATCCGCCTCCATGTCCATTCATGGCAGGAATGTTTCCCTTCCGTAAACAATACGGACCCCATAAGTCCGCAATCTCCGTTTCAAAGCTCGACGGCGTCCCCAGGGTCCTCTGGAAGTGGATATAACCGACGCTACGAACTTTGTTTTCGTTTCTTTCACAATTACAAAATGTACCGATTGCCTAACGGGAAGTTTAGGGCTGACAAGGTCGACGCCTTTGCGACTGGAAACTTTTCCTTTCGAATATTTCTCCCAACATCCTCCTAGCCTGACATGGTCCAAAGCATTAATTTCATTAATCACCCTCACCATTTCTCTGACACGATCAACAAATGCTAGGTTAATTGTGCGTACCCACCGGAAAGATCGAGAAATCCGACGCTTCACGGTCAGTTGCATAATTCCCAGTAGACAGTGTTCTTATTCCATGATTAGATTGCAGGTATCTAATTAGTTGTCAGTTAGCAGCTATCAACTGGCAACATTTTACTCAATCTGTATCCGGTAAAAAAGAAATATCAACAATCGTTTCCACTTCGAAGATATCCCTTGCGCCAATTTTCCCTGTCATATTCGTTACAGGTGGATTAAAACACATAGATATACGAAGTTTCAAATTAATCGGAGGTACGCGCTTTTCACCTGTCCGTAGTAAGAGTCATTTCGAATGCTAGTCAACCTCGTAAAAACATCGGCTCCTTGGGAGGAATTTATATCGCCAAGTGAATCATATGCATCGTGACCCCCACTCCCGTCCATAATCTCAAACACGCCAACCATCCGGCTAGTATTTCCTTTACTTCGTCAACTTCACCGTCTGCTCTTGGCCGGTATCGGAAACACACGCCTAGTGTATCTTTTTGCCCTTCCTTGACCGTGACAATTCCCCTAGGCCTACCCGAGGCGACAATGCCTAACAGGGCGTGGTTCCTGTTGAAACGAAATATTCCTATCCATACAGTTTCATCAGGGCGTCATTACATTCCAAGGAATCCCAATGAGTCCCCGTTAGTTCCTCAAGTTGCCGCAACTTCGCAGCGCCCGACGTTTCCTACGAATCACGTGACCAGCCTGGAATTTTTTCCAGTCGGGCCCAAAGAAAGTCCCCTCGAGCTTCGCCATCGCTTACCTCCTCCATTTCCCGTCCTCCTTCCTTGAATTAAAGAGACAGAGAGAGAAGTCGGACTCACCTCGGTCGCTAGGTTTCCCTTGATCGCCATCTTGTCAACAGTATGGCCGTCGGCCGGGTCCCCGTTGGCCTCTGCGAGTCGTGCTGGCACGGCACACCTTGCGTCTCCGTTCGAGACTCTTCTGGAGCAACGAACCTCTCGATAACGCGGCCCGGTCTCTACTACTTAGTGTCACGAAAAGATGACGCTCTCTCGCCTCGCCGTCTAACGTGGCATTCGGTGACGTCACGACGCGCAAACCTCGCGTCGGTTTACGTACTAGAGCCGAGTTTACGCGCCCGGCAAGCGGCCTCGGCGGGGCGCCGCTCTTGCCCCCTCTACGCAGTCTATGCCGATAGCGCGGCTGGGCATCAGCCGGGCTCTGGACTCGCCGGTCCCTTTCACTCGACTGCCTCGCGCGCTCTCGCTCGCTCTCGCGGCTGGCCGCATCGGTCCCTCTCTCTTGCTCCGAGGGGCCTCTCCCGGCGCGTCTTCACCTGCCGCTTCTCCTAAGCGCCGGCGAATCCTACCTATCAAGGGCTTACCGTTTACGTAACGTTCTCGTTAGACCCCTTGCGGATGATTTTTTAAGCTAGGTCTTTAGTTGCGGTTCGATCAAATTCCACGGCGACTCTCTTCGGATTTTCCGAAAACGCCCGAAATGGCACGACGTGGACACGAATGTAAACAAGATATCGGGTGACCTGGAATGCGAGCTCGCGTTGACTGGATTTCAAGAGGGGCGTTACAAGGACGGCAATGCTTGATTTAAAATGCTCAATTTTATGTACTTTGGGCTTGGATATTCATAGTCGATTTTTATCCTTCCTGATTATATCGCGCCTAATGTGGCATAATTCAAATAAATCGAGGCCGATGAACTTGTTCGAAACCGTGTCTTTTCATAAGTACACGATGAAGTGTACATTTCTTCCAGTCATTACGCTCCACGAAAATCACTGGTTTTAATGAAATTTTACCATAATATATTTTTGTTGAACGGCTAGACGTTTTATGTAGATAATGAGATACCTTAGAGTTCGATGTAAATTTCCAACTAACAAATACTGAAAGATAAATCGAGAACAACGTTCTGCGAGACCTTTATCTCGCTCTAATTACCGTTGCATCCATTCGTCTCTCGAGGGCCGTTATTCCGTCCGCAGTGTGCGACAAGGCTAAAAGGTCACCGCTAATTCAGACTGAATTAACCTCTTCGGTCACTTCTCGCCTCGGTGACCTTCGGCCGAGTCAGCGCACCGGCGAGACAAGTTTCCTCGATTTGAAACACCTAATAGCGAGGATTCCGTCCTCTGCTGAAGACCTCTCGAGCAATCGCAGATGTTGAGTGGACCGATTTGATTTACCCGCCTCGACGTTCGGCAGGGTAAAAAGACATGGCGTCCCCGTGGTGATATCGCTTTTTTGGTAACTTTCCGTAATAACGGATTTTCAGGGGTATATATACTTCCGAGGGGAACTATCGAACGTTCTCTTCGCCTGGAGACAAAAAGAAAGATGGCGGTGAGGTAAGGAACAGGAAGACGGCTCTCGGTAACTTCGGTAATGGTTTTGTTTTTTTCTTCCCAATTCACTTTACCGCCTCCGCGACTAAATCGGCGAGAGGGTTCCTTTTCGTCGTTTTTCCGCTCCTTCCCTCGGCCTGGTTCTCTCCTTCTGTAGGATAAGGTCCGTCCGGACGTTTCCGTCAGTACGGCGACCTCTGGGGGGGTTAGGTTGGGGCGGGGGCCGCCTCGGAAGGAAAACCCGGAGGAAAGGACAAGGCGGACGTGTCTTCGGGGAAGGAGCGAAACGCCGCATCCTACATTCCGCTCGCATATCGAGTTTAGGGAGTTCCTTGTTGCTCGTTCACCCGGCATTTATTTCAGTGCGGAATATTGCACGGGAGACGGTAACCGCGGAACTCGTTCGCCCTCGGCACCGTGGATTTATAAAATCGAAGGTAGTCGTCGTCGCCGTCTGCCTACGCCCCAGAGAGTGCGAGTCTCCCTAGGCCTTGGCAGTTCCATTAAGTTCGACCTCCGACGGGCCAAGAATGCCAAAGCGATGCCGATGAAAGCCTCTCGAACACCCGACTCTCCACGATACCTCCACGAAATTACTCCAATTGATATATCATTGCGTAAGACATTTTATAAATATATTACTCCGAAGATACTAGTCTGGAATAGTCAAAACGCAACGGCAGACGAAATCTCTACGGGCGCTCGATTATCCCGAGGAAAACCCTGGAGCAGAAGTTTTTCACAATTTTACAGGGCTCTCAGAATCTCCAGGAATATTTCGGAATTTTTTCTGTCAATTTTAAGGTACCCTGGAAGATACCACGAATTATATATCCACGGACGAGCAACCCTCAATTAACTCGATTGTCCTGACGAAAATGGGGAGATGGAATATTTCCAAACTTCTCTTTCGAAGGATTGCATAATTCTTTGGAGCTTTTAAGGTCCCCTGAATCGTTTAAAAAAAAAAGTGTTATTTACTAATGTTGAACTTATTATATGTTACTTCTTCATGTGCAAAAGTGGGATATTTTCAAACCGTGCTACGGATCAATGGACGTTGTCATTGTTGGCAAGTGCATCTAGGGAGGCATTCATGGAGTTGTAATCATGTTTTGACAACTGTATCGTGTCAAGTAGAAATGGGTCACGAATGTAATAGTAACGGCTGTGAATACCTTCTGCGTACGAGGCACTTCTTTTTAACGAATTTCATGACGTTCAGTTGCACGTCGCGATATACCCAGCCATCCATTTTCGGAGGCATCGACGTCATTGCGCGTCATTCAGCCATGACCGTTCGTAGTAGCTAGAACTAAAGGTTGCAGAAGCCCCAACAGGCTGAATATTTCAGGAGAAACATACCCGATCGTGTCGGGTAATCTCACGGGCACGGACCGATGTAATTGCGTCCCGCTTCTACGTCGAGATAGGTTTCAATTTTCCCCAGAGCGATCCTATTGAAAATTCATTATCGGCGCCGTCGATCCTATTCGCCTCCCTGGCGGAGTGGAATGTGTTCGTAGAAAACCGTAAGAAGATTAGCGGGATGGATTGCGGAGCGGGAATGATATGTAGCAATTTATTTACAATAACAAGGACCGATTAACTATAACTAACCGGATAAACGGAACAGCCGTCAATCTTCTTATTTTCCACATGTGTGTCTTTCGAACGCTGTAAAGTAGATTCCCGTCTATATTTTTGCTTGAAAAAAAATTCCGAGTGACTGTATGAATGTTAATAAATATATTGTAAAAATTTCAAGATGGGGAACTCTCATGGTTCGTCAGAGAAAATTCTGGAAGAAAGCGAAAAAACACAGCCGTCACGCGGCAAGCCTGCCATAAGCGGTGAGCTTAAAAAAATGAAGGAAGTACGAAGGAGACGTTTTTACATCATAAGTATCTGCTTTTGGAAATTCTGGAATAAACAGTGAAGTACCACTTATTCTGTTTTATAAATAGGTAGTAACATATTGAGTTGCCAAGTGTATCATTTGGCCGGGCTATTAGGAACAAACGAGATTTTACTTTACGTCCCTGTTATGAGGATCTGGTGAACGCTAACTTTTCTCATTGCTTGTTCTGCATCGGGGAATTGTTCTTCCTCTTCAAGTAGAGGAGGTTTAAGGGTAAGAATTTCGAATAACCGTGTAAGGAGTTCTTGTTCACGTAGAGCGTCTACTCGTACCCTGCGACACTAGAAGTCGTAAACCGAACTGCCGGGTCGATCGATGGGGATATGGGTCAGGCACACGCCCGAACCAGCCAGGATTTACCTCTCGCATTTCCACCCCTTTCCCCGTAAAAGAGGATCCACTCGCACGCATTATTACTTACTGTATGTCTGTCATCGCAAAAGAGCTCGTAAGACGAAGTAGGCATTTACCGGACCAATCGCGCAGGCTAAGCTCGACATGGCCGAATCGCGCTTTATGGTCGTCTCTTGTCGTCACTTCGACGCCGATCGGAAATCGAAATACCTTAAGGGGATCCGAAACTGAGCTGAAACTTTTAGCGAGCTTATCGATATTTCAGTTTCCCATCGTTCTCGACGTCGACGCACGAATCGCGATTCAAGTAAAATCTTACATTTTTGGCTGAATAATTATATAACGTTTAATAATCGGGGATTCAAAAATAGTTCCCTTAACTTGGACTTACAAGCATGTAGGTATGAAACATTTCCGTGTACTAAGATCGAAGAAGAGAAAGAATTTCGTCGATAATTTGCGCATTAAATAGTTACTTACTAAGATACTTGAGGAACCTCAGCGTTTCAGATTTTTCTTTTTCTTTTCTTTCAAGACAGAGGGGAATTCTTGGCGTTCTTTTTAGGTCGACCTGGAAATCGTTGCTTCTTTTTCTAAACCGACGTTTCGCTGTAAAAACTTTACTGCTACTTTGGAGCATCGTAAAAAGTGGTATTACGTACCAGACAGCACGGAGTTGCGAAGTAGTTCGTTGCTGTATCCAGGATCATTGGTTTTAATTAGACAATATTTCATAAGTATTTAAACATCTGCACTCTTTTTGTGGGTGCTTTAAATCTCCGATATTAATTTCGCCGAGCCGTGAAATGTAGGCATTAGATTCAGCGCATTGCAAATGAGATTATATTATACCTTCGAGTAATTTCAAGTTGTCTTGCAGATTCGATATGAATATAGATTCCGGAATGAATGCGGCATAAATTGCTACAAGTTAATAAAATAAATTCTCTAAGGACGCCTGCGCCGACGTTGGAAGGTCCAGCCTTCGAAATTCAGACCAATCCTGAATTTCAATCGATCCTTGCGTTCTTCGGGACGGCGAGAGTCCTTTTAATTAGGATTCCAGAGACACCCTCGGGATATTTCCGCAATTCCCCGAAGTTCTGAAGAATTCTTAGAGGCTTCCTGGAAATTCACAAGGGCTGGCACAGGACTCCTAATACAACCACAAACAAAATAAGAGTAAACGAAATATAATAGAATTGGGAAATATGACTTTTACAATCCCGCCCAGGACTCTGGTTCAGCTGCGAATTGTTACAAATCTTTGTATGATCTTAAGAATTCTTTGCTCCTCAGAGAGTTCTCTTCGATCACAAAGGGCCAGGAAAACGAGCACTTCGGATCCAGGTCTCCTGCATTGTTCCCCTCGTTACAACATTCTCGGTCAGTGGTTTCCTTCAGAAGTTCCCAAGACGAATCAACTTATCATTTATTTTCGGTTACTAAATGCACATAGTATTTTTTAAGACAAGACCGCCTGTATTAATTCGGTATTATTTTCAATACCGGCGATACAGTAGCACCAATGTGAAATGAAAGCGACATAAATGAAGAGTAATATTGTAATGCCATTAAAATCACTTAAACTATTTAGATTATAGAGGATATAGGATAAGTTAATAGAAGGAAGTGAACGCGGATATGTAAGAGTTAACGAGGTGCAACGATCCCTGAAAAGAGATCCTGATAATCGGTTTAGTTCGGTATCTGATCTTTAGAGTTAAGTTCCACGCTCTTAGAAGCCGTACAGCACGAGGCAATCTCGTACCCCATGTTGACGATCTCGAAGAAAGTTTCGATCTACGGAACAAACGACGAGGTCCATAGCCGGAGGGATGTTTCTTTTCCGTTTCTCCGAACAGTAGCTCGAAGGGTAGTTTCGAAATTATACCGGTCTTGGTGGAAAACACGAGGAAAATTATTTCCTTCTCACAATGTAGGTGCATACGTTTCAAGAATGACGAGTCTTAAAGTTCCTACATTAGCGAAGCAATCTTAACCTAAAGTCATTTAATATTATTGTCATTACCATTAAGAGCCCTATTAATATTATTCAGTTCAAAACTTATTATCTAAAAAAATTCTCCAACTCCTGCGTAATAATAGAAAATGTCAGTGTACATTTATAATTTCGATTTCGTAATATCTCCCTTGACTCTCATTAAAACAGATCTTAAATTGTCATCTTAATCGTACTAAAATCAATGTACTCATTCCGTCCATTTAAGTCATGCCCTACCCTACTTTAAAACGCTTATTTCGTTTTCAAGGTTACTATGGTAAAAGGATTAATATATAGGTCTGATCACGTCAAAGTCTCCCGCGAGAGATCTCGAGGAAGGAATTCCATTTTCGGAAATAATTAAAAAAAATGTTATCTGGTAACACCGTTCTTCGTAAATACTTCTGCGAGACTCGAAGTTTCAGGAAGGACCGAATCGGATGGGTTCTTCGGTGTCATTACCGAGTCCTGCGTATACGCACGTGATATATCGCAAACTTTGGTCAATATCGAATTCGATCCCTGAATCTTGAGTTCTTCGTATTTCGAAGAGCAGAAAGTCGAAGAGATGGTTTTACTTCTTTTCGGACCAACTTGGGAGCTGAACGAACCGCTCTACCAAGAGATCCCGAATTCGTGTCGGTGTGATCTTGAAGAGAGTGTAGTAGATCGTGTAAGTCCAGGGTTCGCATCTGCAATAAGTGACCTTTGAATTTAAGGGCCAGTAATTACCGAGGAATAATACGGAGCAAAATGCACGTACACGTAGGTAGCCGATGGGTATCTGTCGAGAAGAGCTGCCTGGAAAACCTTGTAGAAGTGGGCATCCTCGAGTTTTCGTGGGCCCACCTCTCGTGATAAGGACATCAGATATCGCGAGTACCTCTCGAAGTAGTTTCCATAGAAGGACCAGGCCTCCTTCGTCATTGCTGCCTTCATGGTATCGAAGTGCTTCGGTTGTTGGGCCATAATGTTACTCTCTTGTATAAAGGAGCCTAGAGATAAATTAACACCGGTACTTACAATCATGAAGGAAAACTCCCCTAGGTTTTTATGCATGCGTACTCACCAGGAACGAAGTTAACAGTGTCGACCCCGTATTTCTTCAGTTCTACTCGGAGAGAAATCAACCAGCTGGCAATGGCTGATTTCGTTGCTCCATAGATTGAGACTCCAGGCAAGGGTTGACTGCTACAATGGCTGCCCATGATAATAAGTCTGCCACTATGTGCTCTAATCAGAGGAATGAGTTCTTTGGTGATTCTCATGGTGCCTAAACAATTCACTTCCACCTGGTGTCTGATTTGCTCTTCCGTCAGCCACTCGAACTCTCCAAAGACCATAATTCCAGCATTATTAACCAGCGCTCTTAAACCTGAACAAACGAACAGAAGACTTGTTAGGTATCGATAAAAATAATTTACGAGAATTGAAAGAAAGTGTTTAACTTTTTTTGTTTTTTTTTTTAATCACGACTCACTTAAATCGTTCTGCTCGATAAGAGCGCGGACTTGCACGCCGAAACGTTGAACGCTCTCCTTGTTAGTAATGTCTAGTGGTAAAACATGGATGTCCTTTTTCCTCAGTTCTTCTGCACCTGGTCCGTCATGTTGAAGAACACTTGCAATCACCGTGCCCCCGAGAGATTTTATGAACAGAGCAAGGCTGTATCCTAAGCCAGAATCGCATCCAGTTATTACAACCGCCTGCTTAGATGTTAATTGATCTCGTTCCTTCATCAATTGGTACGTGAACAGGAAACCTGAAAAGTGAACACCTTGTAAAACCAAATTTAACTTACGTTAAAGCTACGCCCTGCCCAAGATCACAAACACTCTTTTTCAACAAGCATTTTAATATCTTCTTCGTCAATATTGTCACATTTAATCGATCCTTCTGAACATAGGAAACCAAACCCAGCGTTATGTCGAAACTTCCATTGTGCCACCAGATTAGCAATAAAATATTTCTCGAACTTCCCTGAATATTATTCGCGTATCTATATCGTCGATAAAACTTGCCCCGAAGTTATTCACCACTGCACTTTTATTCCGCACCTTGTGCATACATGGGTCGAATACTTCCGGGAGTGTCTCATCTCGGAATACAGAGCAAACTTCTCCGCGTTCCTTTTTCCGCTCCTCTATTTCCCCCTGTACATACTCTAGTCAGAATTACATACAATGTACCCTGAAACATCTACCACGCGGATCCGTTGTATCCGATACACCTCGCTTTTTGCTCTCACATACAGTTGATCAGGCCGACCTCGTCGAATGGCAACACGATCGCTGTTCCGGTAACCGGTGTCCCCGTCATCGCGTTTTCCGCTGATTTTGCACTAGTACGATATATATCACCCTAGAAGTCGCGGGACTTTTTGCCCAATCTATTTGAATCGTCGGAACGTTATGGAACACCCAGTATTATTTTCTTATCGATGGAAGGTCGTTATTACGGTACATCGTATCATTAGTTCTTGTAAATCCCTATATTATGGATCTACGGTGTACTATCATTTATCACGAAAATCCCTTTATTCCAGGATACCGATATCTTGTATATCATCATCTCATACGTATTTTATATCGACGTTGTACCCAGGCTAAAATAAAAATCCAGTCGACAATTCGTGCAATGGCAAAATGGACACACTAGCGTATACACTTACTTAGACATAATCCAACGAGAGCAACGGCCGAGAAGGGAATTCCGGTATCCCATAAATAGATGAGACCAAGGGTGCTGATCAACCCGACGAGGATGGAGATCCAGTGCCTCCTGGACCCGGTGTTCAAGTCACCTGGTCCACTCTGGTCAGCTGCTTCACGTGACTCGCCAGACATGACGACGTTCTCTCGCAGGGGTTGCCTTGGCCTTCAAATGGAAGTCCTCGAGAGGTCGTATACCTGGTGGTAAAAGGTAGGGCCCGCTTCGGGACTCTTGATTCTTGTTTCGGGACCGGTACGATTTGTTTTAGGAGTTTCGGCGAGTAACCCGAGTAACTAGCGCGATCCAGCGGGTCGACGCGATCTGAGAAAGGACGATGGGATCTGCTCGGGTTGGCTCACCTTTCCCCCTTCTTCATGGGACGAGCTGGCCACAAACCCGTCACGGAAGATACTGGTCGACACCTCGACAATCGACCTTGCGGGCCCTCAGGGCGAGAAACAAATCTTGGGGAGAAGTTTCAAATTCGAAACCATGTCCGATTGGTTTATCAACACACGGTTGATCTTGTCAGCGGTACCGAACGGCATTACCACCGTTGCTCGATAAGAGCTTAGGTATAAGAAAAGAAATTCTATTACAACTACTGTACCAATGTCGGTAAATTATTCTTGTTAAATGAGTCACACAAATGGTGAATCTGATCTTGTCAATGGTTGCATCCATGATCCTGCGCTAAAAATATTACAGTAGTGCAATTTGGAATGATAACATTAACTATACAGTGAAGTATGATAAGCATAATAATTTATTATCACGAGATTCATGTATTGGCGAGAGCGAAGCGTATCAATTACCTCAAATTTATGAAAAGTCCTCACGATTTCGAAAGTCTCGTTTACATATACTGCTGCTAAGGTGACAAAAATGTTTTGAGTAACTTTTCAATTAACATCTTGCCTTAGGACTCTCGCCCGTTCATAATAACGTGTAAAATACGTCTATTTGTCGAAAGATTTGTAAGGATAGGAGTCGGATGTCAGCGTTCCCTGTAAGAAAATGTAACTAATATTTCAAGTCTTGAAACTTTTATTATTCGGTACGTTATTGAAATTCAGTGAAATAACGTATGTAATCTTTAATGATGACGCCACACAGTGGGAATTTGGCGAGGGTCGAATATCCAATCGCCGAGTACTGATAGAAAAACGCAGGTCAATAATTCGAAACGAAAGACGAAGTGCGAGAGGACGGACGCCGAATATTTACTTCGAGCTATTCGTCCACATTATTCGGCATTAGGGAAATTTTCGCTCGGCATTCGCCGATTGCCGAATGCGTGGCTCCGCCTCTACATTTCTTCAAATCTTTTTACGAAATGTACGTTGCTGGGCGGGCCTTTTTGCTAGACGATCCACATTATGCGGACTGGCGGGTGAGACGACCGAGACGCGCGTGGCCGGTCCTTCGCGAGATCTCGCCGAGGATTTTAATATTTCATGACGCGTATCCTGGACCGGCCGATCGCGCCCGTTTGACTTTCAGATCTGCGGGGTTTCATTTGAATTTACTCGTGCACGCGGCGCGGCCGCGCGGCGACGTTCACATTTTTCGGAGCGATTTACGTTTGATCCGCGTCTATGGCGGATAAGTCATTTGCATAGCTGTTGAGATAGGGAAGTTTAGCCGGGAAGAAAATAGAACTTTCCGGAATCGTTAAAAGGTCCGACCAAAGGGAGTTTACAAACCTAACAACGCGTCAGTTTCACTTTTGAAACCTGTAGGTGGAACGGAAGCATATTATTTTTCATCATTTTCGCAATACGATGGAAAAGAAAGCCCCTATTGTTACCTGAAGTTTTTGCTCAATTAACCGTTTGGCTACTCGAAGGTCGATTTCTTGGGCGGAATTGAGGAATCAAGCAACTATTTGCAAACTACAGGGACGGCGTACCTTAAAGTTTAATTATATAACATATAAGTACGCGCAGAGTATCTGATTCATGTACATTTTTTGTTTCTACGATTTATGCCACGTCAACGAGAAGTTCTGTTTTTTCGTTTATTCAATGTCGATTATATTTAAAGTAGGCGTGATAGATGAAAAGTCATTAATTCCACTTTATTGTCGTAACATCAGCCGCTGAATTTTTAAAGTATCGCAAAAAGGGATTTGTCTTACTTACCCGGATTACGTTAATTTTCTCTTACATTATAACTGTTATTCATATTGCACAACACGAAGAACAAGGTTAAAACTGCAAGAAATAGGATTTGAAACATTGTTTTAGTATATTTCATTGGTTAGAATAAAGAATATCATCGTAATTTAATTTAATTTTTCGTAATATTCTGATGGTTGTTCCATTTTTTAAATTATGCATAGGATTCTTTCTATCACTAAGAGATGGCGTTGCAGATTTATACATCGAGTACTTCGTTTAAGCGATAGATGGCAGTAAATCCGAAATAAAATCCGCTGCACATGGTGCTTTTTTTTTTACTGGACTGCTTGCTAAAGCTTAAGTCCCGATTTCACAACTTGAGTTAATCGGAACTTAACTGGTTTACAGCAAGTTTACACCGTGTTAAACTTGGGCTAACCCGAGATTAACTGGTTTTCACCATGTTATACCTGCTGTAAACCAGTTAAACTCCGGTTAAGGCCATATTTCATTAGCGCTACAGCGACAAGCGACGAAGTGCGAATAAGAGAAACAGCGCCGCTGAGCAGATTAAAGTTGGCGTCATGTGGACCCGCTATAAAGTCATCGGTTGGTAGCCATGATAAAACAGGCACTGACAGATTTGAAAGATGTCCGCGTCGCGTGTGAATTTGTTTGATTCCAATGACCGTTAAAATTTAATCAAGACTATTCATACGAAGAGGGCACAATGTCATCAAGTTATATCGTTGAAATCGAAAGATGAACACTTCACGTAACGCTGACATTTTCAAGAAACGTAAGAGCTGTTCCCTGTTTCGCAACGTTAAGTGCGCTTTAGGTTACTTTTTTAAATGGAAAGCGTAACTGTTGAAATGCCGGCTTCGTGTTCGGAGACGACTTTGCAAATGAATGGGACAGAAGAGGCAATATCTTGTGCAAGTGGTATCAATGACACGGATTTCGAGTCCGAGGAACCTTATGGTGGAAGCACTCCTCAGCAATCTTCTGAAAATAAGCGTATCGACAATTCGATATTCAATACTATTTCAAAGTTAGTCAACCGAACTGCAAAGGTATGCATCGTTTCAGTGTGATATTCAGATGTAGTAATATATTTTAGTAGTATACTTTTTTTAAAACGATAACAAAAAAGGGATTGCATCGCCTGTTCAAGAATTTAATAAAGTACTTATGTTATCTATAGCTCTAATTTTGTATTTATTAAGATGGTAATAGAAGTTGTTAATGTGTCGATTAACAAAAATGATCTTTTCTAGGTTCCAGAGATTCAGGATTTCAAGATTGTAAAACCAATAAGTAGAGGAGCATTTGGTAAAGTTTTCCTAGGATACAAGAAATCAAATCCTGATCAAATATATGCCATTAAAGTTATGAAAAAAAACGATATGATACATAAGAATATGGCTTCCCAAGTTGTCATAGAACGAAATGCATTGGCTTTAACTCATAGCCCATATTGTGTTCAGCTATTTTATTCGCTTCAATCTGTGAGCAGCATTTATTTGGTGATGGAGTATATGGTCGGTGGAGATCTCAAGAGTTTGCTGGGATTCTATGGATATATGGAAGAGAGTATGGCTGCGTTTTACACAGCTGAAGTAACGTTAGCTTTGGAGTATTTACATTCTCATGGAATTGTACACAGAGATTTAAAACCAGACAACATGTTACTGTCACGAGAAGGGCATGTTAAGCTCACCGATTTTGGGTTAAGTAAGATTTCAAGACTGCACAGAGATCTTGAAATCTCAGATCTTGTAAACTGTACACCGAGTTTATGTACTAGAACTCCTGGACAACTTCTCTCCTTGACGTCGCATCTATCTTTTGGATCTGGTCAGAAGTCAAATGACTCGAGTCAATCAAATCAACTGGATAGCAGCAGTAGAAGTAATCCTGCCGTTAATTTGTTACCTGTTTTGCAACAGAGTTCTAAAACAGTTCCATCACCTAACTCAACTGTCTCATCAGTAGGAACGTCAGGTGATTATTCAAGGGTATCTGGAATTACTCCTTTTCAGTCAGCTGACGATTTAAGTTTCTGTAAGAATGCAGACAAGGAATCAAGAAAAAAAATTCAACAAATGGACAACATTTCTGCCAACAGTACCAACTGTAGTTTTCACACGTGCGAGGTGTCACCAGAAGTGTCTCGAAGTACAAATAAAACAGGAGAGGAAGATGAATCGACATTGGAAGCGGAAAATTCGCAACATCCTGTTGCTGCATGTATGAGTCCACCTAGTAATTTAACAAATTCGTTTTCAAGAGGGACAAAAAGGAAAAGAACTGCTGCTTCAGGGTCAACAGGTTTAACGAGAGAGATCTATCTCATGGAATTAGATGGTGATTTAACTCCAAAAAGAAAAAATCGTGGGACGATGTTTTCTTGCAGGAGTCCAGTGCCTATGTCAATGGGAACTCGAACCAGGAAAGACAAAGCTGTTGAAACTAATGGCACTACTCAGGATAATGGGTCCGGCGGTCGAGTCGCATTCAGCACACCGGTATCATCCTTGAAACAAAAAAAAGAAGACGATAATCTTTCTACGTCTCTGGAGAGAAGAAGACGGAGATCAGAAGATGACAAACCTATTTCCATAAAATCAACGAGATTTAATTTATCTCCACCATGTATATCGTATTCTGCCCCAGATCTACAGTTGGATAGTATACACGAACATCGATCACCTCCAGGAATATCACCGATTAAAACCCCAGCAGCATCCATTGGAAGCTACACTCCATTCAGAACTCCAAAATCAGTAAGACGAGGTACTCAAGGAGGTATCCAACATTCGGAAGAAAAAATTCTAGGAACACCGGACTACCTTGCACCAGAATTACTCCTACGTCAAGGTCATGGCCCTGCTGTCGATTGGTGGGCTCTTGGGGTTTGCCTTTTTGAATTTTGTACCGGGGTGCCGCCATTCAATGACGATACGCCGCAGGCGGTGTTTGCGAATATCTTAGCCAGAGATGTTCCTTGGCCCGAGGGCGAAGAAGCCCTTTCAAAATCAGCTGTCGAGGCTATCGATGTTCTTCTTACGTTAGATCAATCTATACGTCCCTCAGCAAAAGATGTGAGAACGATGTCTCTCTTTAAAAACTTTCCTTGGGAGGAGCCTCAAAAAGCCACACCACCTTTTGTTCCACAGCCTGACGACAACTACGATACATATTACTTTCAAGGTACGAGCACAAATTAATGGGTGCATGCCTTCGTCTAACAAATGTATATATTTACTTCGATTGTTAGTGCTACAATAACAATACTTGTCATAAATTCTTATAGTATTGTTAGTACTCTCGTTGTATACCGCTAATGCAGTTAATAACCGGAATGACTTCTAATACAAATTTTTTTTTCAGCTCGGAACATACTTCAGCATCTTAATGTCAGTAACTGTGATACCTGACGTTGGTGTTTTCCTTTTCGACCGATGCAGTCGACGATTTATTACCGTACATGGAGCGACATGCAACGTCAAGGCCAACTGTGTTACGCTGTGTAATTTTATATTTATATATGTACGTGCGTATGTAATATAGTATCGTAGAATGGTGTCTTGCGCTTCGTAATTACATGCATGTTTACGTTTGTCGCCAAAGAGTTTAGAGAAATTTCGTATATGGGGGCCAATTAGCCGGTACTGCAGTTCCGTACTCGGGAACGGATGTAATACAGCTATGGCATTCGGATATCGTCTCGTGGACTCTAGGCGATTTTTCATCTTAGAAAAATCTAGAATCGGTTGAGTACTGGACGAATACTTAGTCGCCTTCAGCAATCGGATGAGGTCGATGTATGTATCTCCATACGTCCCTCTCGCTTGCAACGGTAAGGCGACGCGTTTTTCGATGCGAAACCTTAAGCGAGTTATGTCAGGAGAGCGAAATAATTCTTTCGCGATCGATTGCGACGTTTCTGTATTCCAAATGTAGCCTCGCTATTTCAGATTTTTCAGAATCCACGGAAGGAAATGTGTCACTCTCGTGTAAACTCCTGGATATTGGCCTTTGCCGCATCCAATGCCCCAACTGACGATTCCTACTTGCGTCCATCTGCCGTCGTTTATCATCAACGGTCCACCGCTATCGCCCTGAAGAAAGGTTAACAATGATCCGTAGACAATGATTTAGGCGATGTGAAGTCAATGGAAATAGTAAACAAGAAATTGCACTTACCGAGCACGAGTCTTTGGCAGCACGACCCGCGCAGAGGAAACTGTCCACGATACCACCGGGTGCCGCTGCTCCATATTTGGCTTTACATTCATTGTTGGACCACACGGGAATGGAAACTTCCTGGAGAATCGCTGGTTGTGGTCCACCTTTAAATAGCGAATGAAGGGCTCATTTAACTTAATGATTAATACATCCGTTAGCAAGACGAGTTAAAGAAAAATTGTGATTCTAGCTTTTATCATCTGCGAAACCCGCAATTCCGTTTTAACAGCGGGTGGTTACCAATCTGTCGTGCAGATGTTTCTCACGGTCCATTCAATTTATATTTACTTCGCTCAATTTCCTGTAGTCGCTTTTAAGACAGGGAATTGCAGATACGTCTTTGACACGATATTTGTTAATCGCCTAGCATGTTATGGAATAATTCAGGTCTCTTGTACTAACAAGTAACTTAGTAATATTATGGCTTCTAATATATTTTCGTTGCGATCTCGGAATAAGAAGTGGCGAATTGAAAATGTGACACGAACGGTGGTGCAATTTCTACTAAGGATATTTATAGTTTCATGGATACCGGAAAGAAGGTACGGTAATGAAACAGTCTTACGTGTCGATAAGATATTAAAAGATTCATTTCCACGTAGACTGACGTTGCTTACTTTCTCTCAAAGATCCCCAGCCAATTACTGTCGCTGTTTTCCCCTGGTACAATTGCGACCCAGTTGGTAGACAAATGGGTCGTATCTGTTCCGTGAACGGAACTGGCTGGTCCAGGGTGAGTATCGCCACATCGTTGTACAGGGTTCGAGAATCGAACCCTCTATGTCGAACAACGCGTTTTACGCGTCTTTCGATGTGTCGGACTTCGTTGCTGATCTTGATGTTGTAGTCTCCCAAACGGACCGTCAACCTCGCAACGTCCCATGAATTCATGCTGTAACAATCCAAATGTACGATACTTTCCATTGGACCAGGCCTAAGATATATTTAATCAATAATCTACTTCTTCTTCCTGAGGCTTTTACTATTCTAAATAATTGATAAAAAATGTTGCGTTAACTTATTTCTCAGCAGCCAGTTGCTTTACCGTTGGACTGCCAGAAAGAGATTACGCAGTCCATTTACATGATTATCTTGAGATTTGGTAAGAGTGACTTAACAAATAAACCTTAGGAAAAATATCGTAAATGAACTTTTTCCCATTTTTCTTCAGATCGAACTTACTGAGCCACGCAATGAGCGGCTGAGAGGATGTGCCGATCGTCGATGAGAGACCCGCCACAGAATTGGCGACCAGCATTGAACAGAGCAGCGATCCACGGCCATTCTCCAGGATCGGCACTCTGTCCACCGACGATCCTTTCCTGATCTTGATTACCATTTTTCGCACCGCATTGCGTAGTGCCCACCCCGGGGTGTGACGTCTGCGGCTTTTGAGTCGTCGTCGAAACGAGACCTGGCCACCAGGGCTTCTTTGTCGGCCATGTAGTGGCAGGTCTCTTTGTAGAAGAAGGTAATTTCGTCGTGGTATCTGCCGGGAAACCTGGAAATGGTTCGTGCGTTGGTAGCGGCGGAATTGTGTGACTAGGCGGATGTGTTGGTAATGGAGGCGGCCAAGAAGCAGGTTTACTCGGCCTCTGTTTCGCTCCTTCCTTTTTCTCGTCTTCTTCCTGAAGGTATAAACATCCTTTTTAGGTGAACCATTTTTTTTTAAATCAACAAAGGACCTTGTCAAATGTTTCAAGGAAGGTTCCATTATCCAATGTCCATTATAATGATTATATTGAGAATCGGGTTACAGAGGAAATCTCAAAAGTATGCTTTATTTGTATAAATGCAAAAATGTTCATGAGTTGACGAGGAGTACTTCTACATACTGTTAGATGATTGCTCTAAGTAAAGGAACAGTTAGATTTTCTATCCGACTTAACTTTCACATGATATAGGATCTTTTTATCGGATCGGACGTTTGTCCGGACAGATAGTAATTGCAGTCGCAATAGCATCGTAAAAGAATTGTGTAATCGAATTAATAGGCGTGAAGAATGAAGACTTGTACTTTCTACGAGATATTATTTTTTTTTTGCCGGGACTTTTATTACTATTACTACTCATTCCTGAATATATAGGGACAAAGAATGCATTACTACATTCGAGCGTACCGATTTCTAAGAATATCCAAAAATGCGGCCGAAGATCCGAGTAAAGTATTTCTTTTATAGTAAATAATGATAGCTGTCATTCTGGACATTGTAAGATGTCGATATCCTTTTTCTTTAAATGTAATCTCGCGGAAATGTAATTTATTCACGACACTTTCACGGTACGGAGCAGCTTATAGGCACCAGGTTCACTTGTAAACGAAAAATTTTACGTTCGAATTGCCTACGTTGCCGTTAAGCCTTGCATGCATCCTAATAATAGTCTTTTTAATTAAGTAATATTTCTAGTTCATTAATCGAAGTTGCAAGGAAACGCCATTGGAATTTCAGCATTCTCTTTACTGACCCTAAAATATATTTAAATGGGAAGCATTTGACTAGATCGTATGAATAATATATATATAATGTAAAACTAATACACTTTTACCTGCACTTCTTCTACAATAGGGCCTTCATCAATGGTCGAATCCGGAATGGGTGTAGTAAGTGGAGTTGAATTGGCACAACAAACCCCAAAACCCATTCGACCGTCATCCCGGATGAAACTGCAGGTATCATAGACCCCAAGGACCCATCCATCGAGTGCACCTAGGTCAGGGATCTTGAAATAAGGATAGCATTCCTTGAAGGTTGTACATCGGCCTATTTCGCCCTTCGAGGTAAGACAGGTTTCCTTGTTGGAATTTTCTCCCCAAAGAAGGCTCCTCCCATCTCGTCCCTCCTTCACCGTGACAGGAGATGGAGCAGCAGCTAAAACATATGCCCGATTTTTATAAACCTAATAATATCGTTAGATATCATTAACAATTGTACGTTCTGCTATTCCCAACAGAAAGATGCAAGTCCAATAAAAAGAAGAAAGAAGGAAATCGATAACCGATGGATGTCGCAGGCCTGGGTGCATCACGTTGTCTTGTTTACCAGCCGGTGAGTAGAGAGCCGGCATGTTATTATTAACAATGGTACATTCCGTTATTTATGACAGAAAAATGCAAGTCTAATAAAGAGAAGAAAGAAGGAAATCGATAACCGATGGATGTCGCAGGCCTGGGCGCATCACGTTGTCTTGTTTACCAGCCGGCATGTGGCCGCGTGTATCGGCGAGCGCGTGTACACGCGTGACGCACTTAACATAATAAGAGGACCGAGGTTCTCGGGAGTTCTTTGACCCCGAGGTGTCACGTCCGTCGACGATGATCGGCGCCTACCTCGTGCTGTCCAAATTGGTACGAGAAAATCGGCCAGGTAGACACAAACTCACCTTTGACGACGGCGTTTTTCGAGGAGGCATCTTTAAGGGCGTCGATGGTCCGAGGGAGATCAAGAGCCACCAGGAAACCAGCGAAGATCGTCAAAACCGTCGATCGGTCGAGGCCTCCCCTCGAGAGCATGACCCCAGGACGACGGGACTCGGAGTCTTCCTCTTCTTCTCCCGGTACAGCACTCCTGGTTCAACCAGGGGATGGAAGAAGAGGTTCCAAGTTCGGTCTTCAAGGTCTGGATCGTCTTCGAAGGCCGTCACTTGGCTGCTAAGCCGGTGAATACCCGAGGCCGGAGCTTATAACGGGCTCGCCCTCCCCTCGGCACCTTGGCTGCCCCCAGCAGGTTCGCCCAGCAGGACGTTCTTCTCTCTTTAACTTCGCAATGTATCTCGCGATCCACGTACACCTGCGACTGGTAACGACCTACCTGAGTATCCCCCTACGGAAGAAGAGGATCTACCGAGGTACCATTCGATATCAATTGGAATTGGTGCAGGAATCCCCAAGCGCCGATCGGTGTCTTCGACCTGGATGCTAGTTAGAGTTTAGTAACGATCATCTCATGAGTGTTCCCCTTGTTAGGATTTTTTTACCAAGAACCTAACGATGATTAACTTTGCCTTGCTTTTCATGTTTCGAGTGGGTTCACGAGTGCGTTGGTTTGTTTGGAGGTACTTCCGAATATCGAGGGGAAGTTACGTAGAGTGTACTTTTAAATGTACGCGTTTATCCTGTCATAATATTGTATCGGCGAATTATTGCTTGCTTTAGTTATTAGTTTTTTTCTTCAAGTATATATTACATTGCGAGTGTACGCGTGGTATTGATATCGTTAAGGATTCTTCTAGGGTCAGTTTTCGTTTGGTATTCATTTTCTTCACCTAGCTTCGAGGACCGATTCGACCGTTATTCCTTAATCTTTTATTCGATAGTTTCTTTTAGAAACAGGATCGAAGCCTTATCGGTATAGAGTTTGTATTTGAACGACCAGGGGAATGGGTTAAAAGGCCTCAAGGCTCCGACCGAGTTTGATGTCGACCTACCGAGTGCATGCAAAGAAGGTAACGGCGAGTTCCTTGTACAAGCGCGATCGAGTTGACCCCTTGTTTCTTTGGAATTCGACTTATTGATGGGCCTTCAGGGATTTCCAGTATTTCCTCAAAATGATTTACGACTAGTTTCAACCGATACGAGCGATCGACGACAAAGACGTTATATCCGAGGTTTACAACAATAGCCATAATGCATAGGGTGTGTGTAGGCGTTTCTAATATATATAAGAAACTTTAAGGAGCATATTAATTTATGACGTCTCCTTCTATTGCATACAGTAGACTTCCGTATAACGCGAATTCCTATAACACGCCAAAGATATTGCGAGGTTTTCCTGTATTATGCGATTCCTCGTACAATGCGTCAGACAACAAAATAAATTATCCGCGTTATACGAGAAAAAATGTCTCGTACGATTTCATATACTGCGTTATGTATTAACAGCGTTATACGGGGTTCTACTGTACCTCGGTGTAGAGGATTCGTTCATCATCGTTAACTTGGAAACATCTGCGAGCGGTTAAGACGCGTGCCTCGTTCGTTTGGATTGAAGTCTGAAGAAAAAACGTTTGATTGAATCCCGTCCCTAGTTGGAGCATTAGCATAGAGAGCACGCAACCGATCGACTGGCCTTGAGGAGGTCCAAGACTCGGTCGTGGCCGTGAACTTGCGGTTGGTGGCCAGGAAGCCGCAGGATCAGATCCTTGGGGAGCATCTTGGGGGTTTAGGGACGACCCGTTAGGATAGCGTATCCAAAATGACTGTTAAGGGGTTCATCAACTCCCGCAAATCGGGACTAGGATCAGTCCCCTCGTTTTTCCGTTTCGAGTGGATCCGTAGAAGACCCTCTCGAAGGGCGAAAAAATGGCAAAACTGTCCCAGGGACTTTCTGGGAGGATGAGAACTCATTTAGGATCACATAGCTGGATGGAGTCAACGACTCCTTGCCATGCGAGCTGCCTGAATGGACTGTACTGGTTAGGGACATGTCCTGGGGGGTTGAGTCTCCTGGATCGGACCCCGTTCCTGCAGATTCACCTGCGACGACTGCGCAGGAAGAGGATGTAAAAAATACCTTCGCAACGAATCGAAACAGATTGCTTTCGACGAAGCTCGCATCTCGCGTCAGGATAATCGTCGAAATAGTTCCCTACTAGTTTTTGGTTTCCCACTTTGGAAGACTCCTTTCGAAAAAATCCACCGATCTTCCGCGCCGTTCACGAGTTTAATCCACGTTTAAGGTCGAGTTTGCCTATTCCAATTCCCAGATTTACCGACGGATTTCACTAAAGGGGCTCGACACTTACGTTTCCCCGGGTCAGTGTACGAACAAAACTGGTATTCTCTCCACTTTTACATTTTTTTTTTCCAGTTTTTAATCCAGATTTTTAATCCAAATCCAATCTCCTTCCATGGTTGGTCCTTCCATCGATTCGTCTCCGATAGCTGTACCTCTTTCTTTTCCGTTCATGGAATCTGATTTGTGCTGGACCAGTCAGGCATTTCGTCCGTCTTTTACGGGGTTACTAATGTCCATTTTTCTCGGTTGTTTTGGGCGATTACTGCTTACGTGAAATCATCCGAATGTTACGACCGATAAACCAGCCAAACCAGCCTTGTTCGGGCCCGAAAGATTCGACGAATTCCGCGAATTGGGACCGCGTCGAAGGAGTTAGCTCTTAATCTTAGACGTTCTTCGGAGTCATTCTTAATCTTAGGATTAAGAACGAATCTTAGGATTAAAAATGACTGCGGCTTCTGTGGTTTCGATGGGCGCAGGTCGGACCTCTTCCGAATGCCCGGATATATTTGGCCACTCATTGAAATCCCTTGCCCTCGCCTCGTTTAGCGATTCCTCGGAATGGAGTTTCTGAAACCGGTTGGCCAGGAAAGTGTCTTCAATGCCGTAGGGTGGCGTTTCTGCGAGGAAATTACTCCGAAGGGCGAAAAATATCTTCGACGTCGATTTAAAGTTATTCCCGTGAATACCTGAAATGTTGGATATCCACTTAGAATATTTTAATCGTGCTATGTAAGCTACAGGATTGACCAATCCATTGTTCGCGAGTTTAACAAATTGACAAATTGAGGAGACTAACGCTTCGTTGTTTCGTAACGAATGTCGATTAGGACGATTGGCTTTTTCATATCGAGCGTTGTTTCATTACGAATGTCGATTAGGACGATTTTCGGTTATTGGCTTTTTCATATCGAGCGATCTGCGTGACGTCATTGGTTCATCGTTTTCAGTTCATGTCATCGACCACTGACATCTCGCTGGGAAGTGCCAGACAACATGTCAGCCTTCTTTCTTTTTTCTTTTCTTCATATTTTATCTCGAGGGATCTACGGACGGATTAACGGTGGATCACGATAGGCCAGTGTCTAAATTAGCATATTGGAGCACCGAAATCTTCGCCATTATACCTGAGATACTATTTGCATATGATCCGTTAGAATTCCATATTTATGTATCTTAGTAGGTAATAATAACGAATTTCTCATTTTAACACAATGACAAAGATTTTACTAAATGTACTCGTTGCGTATTCAAATAATACCATTGGACTTCCCGTCGGTCCACCAGAAATTATTAAATTATTCTTATCATTTTAATTACGTTAAACAGGCCGGGGGCTCGGTAGAAATATTTTAAAACGCAGAAGTAATGAAATCATTGTTAACCTATATTAAACGGAAAATGACTTATCCAATTAGTTATCTATACTTGGAAACGAATCTGAGTGTTTAATACGGTGGTCGCCATGCTTCCATTAATGTCTCCTGAATTCGTGTCTACTGATTGCCTTTTGTGCCCTGAGTTGATAGATTTCGATCGTCCACTATCCGTCAAGGTTTATTGACACATCTGTCAATAGATTCGAAGTTTCCATTTTTCGGCCCGATCATTCCATTGACGGATTAATGGGGCATAGCGATATTGAAATTAACATAGGATGGGAATTTGCATACCAGCCGTTAGATCTTACACGAAATCTTACTTCCTTCGGCAATGGTGAGAAATGGTGTCGGGAGAGAATCACGATTTTAATGCAGAGTCCTAAGATATTGCTAATGGTCTCATCAATTTCATTTGCCGGATACCGCCTATCACCGCGTTATCAATTTAGCCATAGCTATTAGACCGACGGAAGATTTGTAATGTTTGATCTATACTTAACTCCAACAATGGGGGCAGAAAGATGACTACGAAAATGGAATAATTGTCGGGCATTAAAATTCCTTTCCGAGTCCGAGGATCGGCGCTTGCGGAATGTAAGAAAAACTGGACGAAAAGTAATATCGGTCCCCCCGGGTCTGCGAGGCGATCGGCTTCGATGGTGGGCACAATGTTAGGCCCTCGGTAAACCTGGCCCAAGATAATAAATTCTCCCCCCGAGTGCGCGTATATGGTTGAATAAAATCGTAAAGGGAAAAGAAAAAACCGTGAGCAATCAAGGAGGAAGCTAGTGGGGGCCGTAATCAGGATGCGAGAGTGCTCTGACTCCCAAAATGCGAACGCCCCATAAATAAGGTGTTAAGGCCATTGGCCCCCTCCAAGGTCGCAATAAGTACCAACACGTATTATTGGACGCCTGATACAATGCGATATCGACCCACGCGGCTGTACCTACACAATTCAATGCTTGCAGTACGCATAACAATGCGGAACCATGTTCTTGTATGTACGTATAGACGCCCGCGATTATGACACAAGTGCGAATACACCGCGTGTTAGCGTTTCCCTTAACTAGCGATGGGATGAAACCTAACTCGGATCTTCTAAATTAGTATAGATTGACCGAGAGAGGCTGTTCGTTTTTCCCACGCCGTTGGAAATGTGTTTGCAAGATAAGCGCAAAAATACGGACCTTTCAGGAACTGTACCCTATGTCAATTCGGCGAGTCCTGGTAACGGTTTCATGTTGGGAATGATTTAGTTTTAAGTAGACATCGATGTCGCTAAAGTACTTCTTAATGGGGGTCCGAGAGTTAACTCTTTTCAATTTGCCGCCTGGTCGTTTTTAAATATGTCGGGGATGAGAGCTTCTTACAAATATGTACCTCTTCGCGAACGCTAGACTTCGTAAAAAGCCAAAGGTTAGAACCCAAAAAGGGGAGATTTGATTTAACGCAGTGGATCTAAACGGCGACATTTTAGTTATTTTCATTGTTTATCATGCAAATCATAGTGGATTAAGGTGTAACAGAATCTTGATTAAATGTGACTTTTTTATTTCCAGCAAATTTTTCACAGTTTTTGACATCACCATTTGACATGTACACTTTGCAATATTTATCGGTATTGATTTCATATCGTTTAATAATATATCTCGTAGTATTTTTTTTTTACTCATTAGTAAGACTCCTAATGTAGATGCGACTCACGTCCAAGATTTAATTAGGATTTCAAGTCTGCGTGATTTAAGAGCCGAGGTAGAGAAGATAGATCAAGTTGTCATCGGTAGGCTCTTTTGGCCTCATTAAATGCCAATTAACAGAAATGTACGTTAAAAAATTAATCGAACCTCATTTGATGCAACTTTTTAAATGCTGCCGACACTTGTTGCATAAAGTACTGATTTATTCTATTTTGAGAATAGTTATTAATGATGACGATTATTCGTGTTTATTGAGGTAGTGTGTTAATTAGGAAGAAGAATCATTTCGATGTATAGATAATTGATTGATACTCGGTTTGATGGAATCTTGGTCGCTGTGAGTCACAACAGGACGATTGACGTCGGCGAAAAAGTTGAAATCAGGGAATAATCAGGAAGCCCGATGATGCTTCTTCTTTCGCACTTTGCATTCTTCTTCTGCGAGCGGCTTCTTATTTGTCTCCCCTTAAGCGTTCCTCTGCTGAGGAGTCCTCTTTTTGGTCCTGGCAGTAACAGGTTTCCTTAAGGTGCGGTGGACGTACGTCTGGTATACAAGTCGTTATAAGGAATCGAGGACACTCGTGGGAAGGACTTTTTCGTAAAAGAGTACTCTCGTGACGATCTTCCTAAAATATGGAGATGATTTATCAATTAATGCACTTATAGAGGGAATTAATTGCGATCCACGTGACTCCTCGACAGGTTTGACGCATCGAATCAGCTGATCGTTCTTGCATCTTATGGTGGACAGTAAGCTTAATCGTAGTTCTAGAATCAATATTTATACCTATAATAATTACACCGTTACATAAGGTCGTTGCTTCTCCTATAGTTAAACAGTCATAAGATTAAAATCGATTCAACAAAAGGCTTCTGCTAGAATTGAACGTATGTAATGTTTGAATTGCGCACATAATACATTATTACGCTTTCATACGAGTTAACGATATCACTGCACCATTTAATCAATCCTGGGAGCTTATTCTTTAGCACAAGTATGTATTGACAAATTAAGCAAGGTAATGCGAAGTAATTTCTCAGCGTAAATCATTTTCTGATCTTTATCGATGTTTCATTTATTACAATTTATTTGATCGGTATGTATCACTGTAAGTATGATTCGTAGCACCACCGTCATTCATCGCTTTATTCTAGTCATTGCCGTTATTCAAATTACCTTACCTTACGAGAAATATTAAGAGATGTCTTCCTACATATGTACCTCGAGTTTTGAGAAAATGAGTAACGTACTTACCGACAAGGCTAGTGAGCATTAAAACGTTTAATGTTACAAACAGTCGACTATGGGTATACATGGTATTATTATGAAAAACATTTTTTTGTATAATACATGTGACTTAACGCCTATTAACATCGTGCCTACCTATCCTTGCTTACTTATGATAAAGCAATTATTTCAGGTACTTATTTGTATAGAAACAAACCAATCAACAATAATATCTTGTTATGATAAACCTTTCGCTCTCCCTCTCGCTTTTTCACGATCTCATTTCCCCTTACGCCTACTTTATATTTTCTTCGTTTCGTTTCTCTGTCCTCAGCTTTACCTAATGGCTTAAATCACTATTAAAGTCAGTCGACACCTTCGTAATTGCCGATGTGCATTTTAATCCTCGACATGCGTATGACTTGCAGCAATTTAAGGAAATTGCTAAAATATTAATGAATGAAAAGTGGAAAACATCGCCTAAGCAAAATGCCTGGTTTGAAATACACGCGTACAACGAACGATTGAGAATTGTCATCTCGTCGATACTTCACTATACAAATTACTGTATCTAATTAATATAATGCATTACGAATCGTTTACTGAAAATGTCGAGGCGAACGTTTTCCCTTCGTGTAAATTTTTACGGCAAAATTAATAAATGGTTTAAGAGCAACTACAGTACCATTAAAATCTGACGAATATTAATCTTGTGTAATTGAGTACATTTCAACGTCACTGCTTTGTTATAGAAATTTTGCGCATTGACACATTGCTTAGCTTAAAGTTGCGAAAGCGATCCTGAGAGTTGTCATGGAGTTTCGGAGATCAGATGTCTTAAAAGTGTACAATGAAGTACAGGAAAAGTACAGATATCCGTGGAAACAGTAGGCAACGATATAGCCTTTGAAAATTGCGCGGAGCGATTGTTGAGTGGAAGGATTTGGGAGAATTTTCCAAGAATCCCTGCATACTTTCTTTTCCCTTTTTTTTTTTTAAATTATACACATTTTGAAATAATTGACACCGGTTTATGTTACTAATCTTCAACTGATCGCGTTGAATGATACCACCGGATAGCAGAGATTTTCGATAAAGGCGATCATCGTTGGTTTCTCTCTCGAATTTCCAGATGGAAAATTACAAAAGATATCTCACAATGATCTACTTGATTAACCGACCGACACTGTCTAATCACCCATCCTTAATTGAAATTTGACGATAACAAATAATTGCTACCAAACTTGGTTTACGTGCGTGTCTCGAAAGAGGAGTCGAGCATGGTTATCTCTTCCTTAAGACCATAAAATAAACGTTGACTACAACAAAAGCTACTCTACTCGCCGATTAATATCCATGGATGTCAGGACAATTAACGGAGTACAGGTCTTAGCTGCAATTGGCACAGAAAAGAATCCCAGAACGGAGAAGTACGAGTACACGCACGTAGGATCGGGTAGGCCTGCGAGTTACAACTTAACGATCTGACCGATAACAAGTGATAACGTTAAAATTACTAATAACCTTAGAGAATTAATAATTATTATGGTAATTTATAAAACGTACTAATATAATATTTATTGTTGCAATAAACATCGTAATAATATAATATCACCTCTGGCACAATCTCACGATGGCAAGACGTCGCGACAATCGTTCGTTTCACGGCTACTCCCCTTTCCACGATTAGTACCTATCGGACGAGGTACGCGCTCTAGGTCGACCTACGGAAAAGGAAAAGGGGTATTTCTACGCTCTCTAAACCTACGGATCGCACTAATGAACGACCGATCGTGTGGAATAACCGTGCGAAGTCAGGTGCTAAAAACCTTGGCCGGGGTCGTCGGGAGAAAACTCAGCTGCCGATCGCGATACCTTATCAGGGCTTTCTATGGAGGACTCCGCCGCGGATTTGAGCAAAGATTGGATTGCCGTTTATGTTGCCTTGACTAACTGGGCAGTGCACTACCCACACATGGGACTTTCGAACGGTTATTTTTCTTCTTATTTTTTTTTCCTTTTCCCGCGAATGGAACTGCACGCAACCTGAGCCGATGGGTCTTTACATTAACCGATAAATCTGGCTTGCAAAATGTTATGCAATTTTTATACTAAGTCCTTATGTCCGGTTTGGTCGCGAGCACGTTTCGATAAGGCGCCGAGTCTGTCAGTGATTCTTTTGCTACTTGAAAGAAAAAAAAAAATAAAGAAAATTGATTAATGACTGCTCGATAAGTCTGCAACGATTCTGTTGTATTAATGGCAGAATATTTTACCGCGTCAACTTATAGAAAAAAAAAAGAGAAAAAAAATGTGAATATTGCAAAATGTCTACCGTGCGTGTAATCTAGATCTTAAGAACGATGTTGTATCGTCGAATGTAATGTATATTTCTTACAATGACAATGTTACGTTTTCGATACAACAAGGGCATGACGACACTCTGTTCACAATCTTTGCAATGTCTGCCGTACAAAATTGTCTTACAAAATTAACAGGATAAAATTACTAGTTGGCAACAGTTCCATTGACAATATCGATATCGCTACTTCCACGGTACACAATCATTTTAAGGTGCATTGTCTGCAGACCGAAACATCATATCCGAAGAGAAATGATTTAGAGGACGATAACATATAATGCCCGTTATATTTAGTAAACTAGATTTCATTGTCGACAGCAAGAATTAACGACTAAACGGTGTCAGGATTCCGTTACGTAGTGTCAGATCCAGTCCAGAGAATTAACCCGCAATAAACAATTTGGAGTGCTCAATGGAATACGAATCGAAATTAGAGAAGTCAATTAACAGGATGAAACTTGATCGTTTCAATTAATTGTTGAAATATGCAATATTGCAACAATAGTATATTAACCCAGGGCAGTGATAATGTCTGAATATTTCCAGGCTCCGAAACCAGATGGCGCACCGGCGATTCGGTTCTTAAACGCGGTTTCCAGATATCATATCTTAAATTTCGAGGTCCATCCGCGACCAGTCGATCTCGCTATTCAACTTATAATACAGAAACGCATAAATCGGCCAGTTACGTGGTTCCATTCGGCAAGAAGAGGACACTCGAGGACGCACCTTCGCAGATGCGAGAGCGCATGCCGAGGCGTGCGCCTCCGGTACGAAACGTTGCAGTGAGTCAGAGCACGGGTCGTGGCTGAGGCAACGACGAGGAGGAAAGGAAAATTCCGGGGCAGCAGCGGAATCGCAATCGCGGTTTTCTCGAGGCGCGACCCGCGGCCAAGTCCGCATGAAGAGACTCTCCCGGGGGACTCGGGTCACCGAGGAAGAGGCAGAAATCACCCGAACGGCGGGTCTAATCGTTAATGTCATGGGCCAATGCTGCGCAATAAATTCGACTCCCGTGGGACCATTTCCTGGCTGTGCGTTACGCACTCTATATATATCTATATATATATATATCTATAAAAGAAGAAAATAACAATATGCGCAATCGCTATCGCTTCTAGTCAATAGAAATAATATTATAATATATACTATACTGCCTGCAAAGAACTGTAACAAAATATAGTATCAATAATAATATGCATTTTACAAGCGTATTTTGATCGTTGCTTTGATATCGGGTACGACGTACGTATGCATTAACGTAGGCTGATCTTGAAGGTGGTTCTTGTTTCTCTCTTCTAGCCTAGCCTAGCCACTAGTGTCCTAATAACAAGTGCGGTCGTCGTAAGGCTTTCGCAAACCCTCGGCAATAAACGAGGCGAGTCTCGTCGGTCGCTCGCATCGACCGATTGAACCAAGACGCGTCGATTGAAGGAAGAACTAAAAAAAGAAAGAAAAAAAAAAAATAACACAAAAAGTACATCGGAATGCGTGCTCCATCGAAGGCTTCAGTTACTTTTTTTTTACACGCTCTCTCGGTCGCGTTCGTACATTTTCTCACTCGTTCTCTCTCATTCTCTCCCTCCCACGCTTCTTACGTTTCTACGTTTCGCAGCCTTGTCCTCGACGAGGCGACGCCATTTTCCGTTACGCTAGGTGACGTTAATTGCATTCGCTCGACGATTATCGCGGGGATCGCACCTATAAGTATTTCGTGCCGGCAGTCGACAATGGAGCACGACGGATTAGTTACGAGATATGAGCAATGAAACGGACTTACGCTGAATTACCTTAGTCTTAAGACTTAGAAAATGTCGTTCCTCTGCTTTCCACGCGTTAACTATACCGCTACCAAGACGAGCGCCTGGTGAAGGTCAATCTTTAAGTTTCTCATTTAATCTGCGCTATCATTCGCGAGTTTTTCTTCTACCGGTGGATCATAAAATGAGGTCGGAAGGCGGGGACCATTCTTTCGTTTAATCCGATGTGGACGTTATTAGTGATAACGTTCTCCAGGCGGCCGCAACGTTGGAAAGGCGAGGAACTTATTAAACTCCCGCCCGAGAACGGTGCGTGACTGTGCGCGCGCATCTTAAGTTAGAACCGATGAGTCTGAAGGAACGGAAATAAGAAGAAAATAAAAAAGATAAAGGAGAAAACAATGGGTAGCTACGGGACGATATGATAAGCGATTTTCGTATGAGTCGCGAAGATACGGTTTAACCACGCCGGCTAGGCTAAGGATATATATCGTAAGTACTTGGCCGATGTGGTTCGTAGATCTATGTACCTAGCTCGTTTACGTAATAGTAAAGGGTATATATATAACTCGGGGTGGATGCGACTAACGGTATGGCAGAATATGAATCGCAGAGGATCCGTTTGCTCGGACGTTACGTGACGAAACGTAACGCCTTTATCCACTGGTCACTATGCTGATAAGGTATGCGCTGCAGTTAAGCAGACGCGCCTTTTTATAAGCTATACACCTTTCTCCGTTTACTCTTCGTACGCATACACTCACTCTCGCACGCTATACAAAAATTCAATAAAACCCCGCGAAAGCGGCGCGACAATATACATACGTCATACGTACACTTATTATAATTATAAAAAGTCCTTAAATCAATTTTGATTGATTTACTTAAGTTATCGTGCCCGAGTAGGGAATTCCTCGCCTCCAGTCCCCACATTGCATACTCATTAACGTTCGGACGTATCTCTCTTCTCTCTTTCGTTATTTCGCTCCGTTTTCACTAACACTTACGTAGTTTCCCTCGTTATCCTTAGATAACCAAGTCCGCGCCTCGCAAAATGTACAATATATAAGCGAAAATTGCATCTTCGATTGTAACATCGCCTCCCGCGTTAAACGTTGCGTAAAAAAAAAAAAAGAAAGAAACCGCGCGGATGTATTCCCGCAAAGTTCCGCACATGCCTAGGAGCGTTTAAAATAATTACCTCGTTATCATTAATCATTTAAGGCATTTCAACCCGTTTCGGAAGAAAGCTGCAGCGCAGCCTGTCTAAGTCAGTCAACTAGCGCCCCGATGCGGCGCCAGTTAGAATTATTTTCACCTCGCCAATGGGCGGACGTTGAAATTTGAATTTTTTTCCCAACTTAAGCAGTCCTCGTCAAATTGATACAAGGTTCAGCATAGTCAGCTCCCTTTAACGATACTCAGGAATACTCCCTTGCAGAAGTTGCACGTCAGGCTCGAAATCCGGCGCATTCGATGTTTAACGCTCAACCGCTTGAACGCGCAAGAATTCGTGGTTTTTAATAAAACATTCTGCATTCTTTCGCATGCCTTCCCTTAATGTCCTGAGCCGACCGTGTCGCACTTCTCGCGAGATCCCCTCAGAGCGCTGTAGAACGTTTATCTCGTCGACTTCCGGTCTCACGGAGACGAGCAAACATGGCGGCGCGTTTTCCTCTCCTGTTAGTTCGGAGGCGGCTCCAGAGATGGCGCGTTCTTGAAATCCGCCCTGCTCCTTTCTCGTCTCTTCCGTGACGGGGACGAAGAGCTCCAACTCGGCTCTCGCTTACCTGCTCTCTGACAAGGAACACCCGCGCTGGTCGCCGGCCACGCTCACGTGTTTCCGTTGTCGTGCACGTGAGCGTGCACGTGCGAATGCGGGTGCGCATGCGCGTGGAGGTGCCCGTGGCCGCTAGTTGGCGCTGCGAGCGGCGAGGGAGATAGGGGCGTCGGAGACGAGGGCAGTTCGATCAGGGTGACGTCGTAGCCGGCGCTGGGCGGGTCGCCCGGGTCCTCCGGGTCTCCTGGGGATCCCGGGTTGGCGCTGCGGTCGGCGTTCGGGTCGCCGCTCACGTGCGAGTGGCTCACCTCCAACAAGAAGAGGTCCTCGTCGACGTAGTACCGGATCATGTCGTCATCAATTTTCGCCGTAATTCTGTAACATCAAAAGTCGTACATGCATTTTTTATGTAAATATGTATAGCTGTATATGAATCGCTTTTATATGTAACATGAAATATACGAATTCTTCGACTTGGTGCGCAATTTCTTATCCCTGAACTTCATTAGAACTTCGTATGAAGTTACGTTTCAATGAAATCTCCTTTTATTTGGAGGGTTATGTCGGATATGCTGACAATTTTGAAGTGAATTTTTTAAACCTTCTGAAAGAAGCACTTAATTAATTAATATTCACTGTGGAGTTTAGGGTTAAGATAATTGGTCGCCGATAATGAGAGCTGGGCGCGAAGTACGGTGATCGTTGAATTGGGTATCAATTTAATGTAGTCGATCTTGTTTAAATGAATTATTGCAATCTCTGGAGAGTGACTTGTTGGATGGAGGCATCATGACTATTGTTTTAAACGAATACCCAATGTTAATAGAATATGCTTAAATGAGCTCAATTCGCCGACTAGAAAAGCTCGAGATGACGATCGCTGCTAAAAAGTAGTGTACTACCAAAACGACGTTTTCGAAGTTCTTCACGTCATTTCAATCCCAAAATTGAAGCAAGGAAGATAAAATCTCACACTGACCAATACCATGGAAGAGTTCAAACACTATCTCATTTCTACGTGCATGCGACAGGAGTATCCGAAGACTTTAAAATCCCACGTGGAGTACAACTACGCCCTTATCTTCGTCTAATTGTTTATCGAGGAGAAAAAGAATTAGCAACTCGATTCAATAACCAGACAACTCTTCCAAGAAATCTTTTTTACAAACCATTCGTTAACATGGCATAATTTATAGAGGGTCAAAGTGTTTTTCTTTATCATTGTCATTATCAGGTTCAACTAAGGTCAATGTTTGTACCGTGATCTATATCGGGTTCTCGAGGTCGATAAGACCGCGTGCATTATAAACGACGATTTTGACGTTATCGTAAGCAGAATCAAAAGTGCAAGTAATCTTGCCGCAATTTAATCAAAGGAACACGTCCGAATGATGTCGCGTGCCGAGAAAAACAAACGACTATCAGATTCGTAACAACCATGCCATAGTCACTCAGAAGCAACGCAAAGATAACAGGTATCCACGTTATGAAAAATCAATTGAAGGATTTGATTCATAACGAAAGGACTCGGAATTCACCATCGGTCTCTTTTGGCTAGAATCCTTGAAACTCCCTATGGGATTTTCATTAGAATTCCCTACTTCTCATTCTCGAGCATCAATTTGGGAGCATCATCTACATCTACACGTGAAAAGTTTCACGACCTCGCCGATAGTCTCTTATCATTGGTCACAAAAAACCCCTGAATTGCGCAGGGAGAAATTGAAAGTTCACTGAAACAGCACTTAAACGAGTAAGACTCGCAGATGGGATGTCGGAGCGAGGTACCTCTCAGGTGGATCCTGTAATTAATCCGGCAATCGCAGATAGACACAACGGACAGGTAGATCGGTAGAGTGACACGGATGCGCGTAGGTGGGATAAAAACGGGCAAGTTGAATGCGCACACCCTGACGGAAGTCGGGAATTACAGGTACGAGTGCGCGCTCGGTACGCCAGGTGGAAACGAGCGGTCCGCCGCGGGAATTAGTAGATTATTAAATTAGTAGATTAATCGGAGGGTTAATGAGCGAGGTCGCGAGGTGCGTGTCTCTCTCTCAGGTGCACCGTGCGTTAGCGCCGGAGCTTTTCCTGACCTCGCCTAATTGTCACGGTAATTGCCAATCGGTAGAAGACAAAAAGACGCGCATGCAGCGAAGTCGGAGTCGCGCGAAGAGAGACAGAGAGAGGTGCGAAAGAGAGAGAGAGAGAGACGGCGGCTAGAGAGAGCGAGAAAGAGAGAGAAAGGAGGAGCGACAGCGTGCGAGAGAAAGAGCGTGCGAGACGGGCAGAGACAGGGAGAGAGATAGTCAGCCGATGTCACCGTTATGGCATGCACTACGCAGGCGGTGCATGCAAGTAAAGATGACACTCTACTAAACTTACCCCTTTGTGTTTTTGCGATAGAGGTTATTAATACTCGAGGATGCAATTTTGTACTTTGACTCAATCTGCAAAATAGAAAAAAAGTAGAACATTAGAATTTGGACAGTGGTTACGGGTGCCTTAAAAACTCGGTTTAAGGTTAACTGTGCGCCGTGCGCCGGGTCGTCCCGGCGAGAGAAGAGAGAAGGTGAGAGAACAGCGTTGAGAGAAGGCAAGGCCGGAACGAGAAGAGGGAGGAAGACGCATAGTCTCTGCCGCGGATTGCGAACTCCTTTCGGTAGTTCCTGCCAACAGCCTGGTTTTCCTCGAAACTCCAATGGAGCGAAATCTTACTTAATTCTTTAGTGTCGCGTCGATCACTTCGACTTCCACGTCCGCGTAAGAGCGATCGGCCGAAACACCACGTGGAGACTCCGGATGGTTAACGGGCGGCGCACTCTTATGCGGTATTAAGGTGAAGTGAAACACGTCGAGGAACTTGATCAACGTCGATAAAGACAATTTTTCTAAATGCCTACGTTGCCGACGTTCGTTTTTATATTGACAGCTGGGTCGAATTATATTGTGTATTGTACCAAATGGCATATTCCATCTGTCGTTTTCGTACAATAATTATGAAGAAATCGAAGTAAAACTCCAGAAATCCTCTGGATTCATGCTTTCTGGGACCCTAATTAACTGAAGAGGGACCCCCTGCGCCATCTGTGATTTCCAAGTCAATTAAATTTTCACCCCGAGACCTCGTATTCCCATCGTTTTAGCATAGAAGCGCATACAACGCTTTTTTTGCCTTTATCCCGTTCAAATGCGAGTTTATCGATTACCAGAGTGTTCTAAATTGTCGTAAAATTGTCCTGACCCTTTCGATTCTCATATCAGAGCCTTCAATAATTGTATATTGATCAAAATATGAGAGCTCGACGCCATTTTGGTTCTGGTCTGGACCGAGTTAAACAATTTTTTTGAAAGATCCAAATTTTTAATGTGCCAGGACAATTCTTAGCTGATCAGGAGTGATGTGTCAAAGTTTCGGACAGTTTGGTCTGATACCCTTAAAAAAAAGTGTTGTATTCGAATCGACTGATTTGAAGGGGGTTTCACTTCACCTTAATGACTTGGCCTAGAGAAGCTTGAATTGGCATGCGCGTTAAGATTAATTAGCGAATGGGTATACGGCGCTATCGCGCGGGATATGATTATTAATGTCGAGAGCGCGGCATGATGCGTGTGCGCGTGCGCACGAAACGAGAGCCCGACCGATGGAGGTCCTCGGGTGGAGGTGCACGCACCGCAATGGGACGCGTCGTTACGCGCGAGCCGCGGATTTTCCGCGGCCGGAGAGATCGCGACTGGGTGCGTACCCTGCGACAGGCAGTAATTACGCACCGATCTATCGATTAATCGTCGGCAGGTTACGCGATTACGTGCGGAATTACGCGCGGAATACCGATTTCACGTCGGATGGCGAGCCCCCGAATGGTCACGCAAACCGACATTTGCGTAAATCGCGAGGCGATCGTTTTAGAAGTGGGTGAAATCGGACACTTTTCGACGAGATTTTCGAAGTTTACGTTGCAAGAACGAATCTTCTCCGTTACGTCTACCGGGTGGAGGAGGGAGAAAGAAAGAGAGAAAGATTAATAGGAAGGAACAGGAAGAAAGAGAAGGGGAGAAAAATCTGACCGCTTCCGTGTCCAAACTACTAGAGTCCACTAACTTGATTGTTTCGACAGAATGTGCTCGATTGAAATGGATTCGATGCAACTCAAGCATGGTATAGATTCAGTCAAAGATTACATGAAACGATGTAATCGAGGGAGTTGCGGGTTGGTAGTTAAGTCGTTTAATCAAAGGGTACGAGCGAAGCCATTTGATTCCAACGAAGCTCCGTTGCACATCATCGAGGTTATCGTTGAATCAACGGATGTAACTGTACTTCCAGCCGCGACTTAATCGATTATGCGATTTCAGATTTCGAACCGCACGGCTCGGTCGGTTCTAGCGCCAAGTTAAATCCGTTCGAGTTAATCAGGGTTTACCGAAGTAGGCCTCAAGCGCGTCAAAAAGCGAGCAAGAAACGATCGGGCGAAGGCATCCGAGGGTAAGTGGAAGTGACGATCTTTAGGTCAATTTCCTAGGCCGATCGCAGCGATCGGGAGAGACGCGCTTGCTCGCTCCTCGGCGAGGTCGTGGCAATCCTTACAGCGTTGAGGAGTCCTTGGACCGTCGGCGGCGTGACGTGGAGGGGCGTGTAGACGTCCTCGGATTCCTGGCGAACGTAGAGCATGACGCGCTCCTCGGCGTCGGCGCCCCTGAGGTGTTGCTGTTGCTGGAGGTGCAACCGGTTACCGACCCCGGAGACCACCGCCCCGGCGGCCAGGCCGCTCGGTTGCACGCCCTGGAGCACCGAGCCCTGGAGCTCCTGCACCTGCATCAGCAACGAGTCCTTCTTGTCGTGGAGGGAACTCAGATTGTCGGGCGGAAAGTGATTGTGGAACTTGAGGGCCGGCAGGCTCGGTCTGCCGCACGCGGGGTAGGGGCTGCCGCCCCCTGCCTTCAATCCTCCACCCTCACCGTTACTCAGGGACGAGGTGTCCGTGTCACCTCCGCCACCGCCGCCGCCACCTCCGTAGAATCCCGACAACTCCATCGTCGAGAACTGCCGTGTCGGAAACAGAAAAACAGGCTGTAGGGCATCTGACGAGCCCCCTTGGTCGCCGCGTCCGAGCCCCGTCCGGACACCTCATCTCTTTGGCCAAGCAGCGGTTTAGCGTATTCGCGCTACACACCGAGGTTACGTTAGTGGAGAGCGGTTTTGCCGGTGAGGGTGGAGGATGGATTTCGAGAAGCTGCCGATCGCCGGTTTCGTCCAGAGACAGGAAACGCGACGAGCAGAGGCCGGAGGCGTCGCGACTCGGTCAGGGAGTTGGACGCGACCTCGCGACCTCGACGAGCGACCGAGAGCAAGGGTGGATAGGAGGGTGGCGATAAGCACCGGCGTATGGGAGCGGAGTGGACGGATCCGTCCAAGTGACGCATTCGAGTTGGACCCTCCCCTTGCAGGGAACGAACGGCGCCGGGAGGGTTCAAGTTTCTCCTGCTTTTCTACGCCGGTGGTTATCGGGCGGGTTCTAGCTCACCTACGGACAATGACATTCGGTTATGGGTGGTTTGGCTACTTCGGAGGATTTGCGGGTTCTACTCTGTCGCGAAGCTCCTCCAGGTGGGTGCGTTCGGTACCTTATCGATGGCGTGCTCGGCCGGGGGCGAGAACAGGACCGGCGGTTTGTGCAGGTCAGCCATCGAGTAGAACTCGCTGCGCTCCGTCACGGAATGGTACAACTCGTCCAGCTTTTTCCTCCCGGTGGCCGTCATCTTCCTCTTCGCCGCTCGTCTCTCCTCGTCGCGAGTTTTCCTCTCCGCTCCCTGGAACGATAAGTTTAGTTGGGACTCCTTCAGGATTTAAAGACCTTTCGAAACCGCGAGGTAACATTTCGTTCGGATTGTCCGAGAATCAGCCGTAAAAAAATCGTTGATTCCAGGTACTCACCTTATCGCAGAAGACCTTTATCTGGCAATAACCACGGTGGGACGGCGGGGTGTACGAGTGGGTGTGTGGCGGCGGTTCCTCGTACGTGTCCACTTGAATGTGCAAGGGCAAACCCTTCACCCCTTTCTGGCTCGAGAAATCTGTACTGAGGCATTGCACCGCGACGTTTATCTGCAGCGACACACAGAGCATTTATTCGATTTGGATCGAAAGACCCCGGGAAGTAACGCCCCCTGAATTATACCCTCTTGTTTCAGGAAGACCCCATTATCGATGCCACATTTACCTTTGCAGAAGACTCAAGGGGGTTCCAATAAACTGCGATGGCGTTGTGGGCCACTTCCTCGATGCAGCCGACCAGCCCCACGCTGTTCTTCGTGTCTGCAAATCATTTCAAAGGGGTTAGACTGATTCCCATTAAACGCTCGCCCGAGTCGACACCCCGAGACCAACAAATGGGACGTTCCGACGCATCCGTTCCCAACGAACCGTCCCACGTATCTACACACGCATTTGCCAAGTTGCATGCCTCTCTTACCCATTTTTCACCGCTGTCACTCGTTCGTCCGACAGCTTGCGCAAAAAGTCACAGCGGGTCTTACACAACGAGTTAGGGTTCGCGCTATCGGCTGATCTTTCTCGCGGGATCACCAGACTCACTTATGGGATTACCAGGGCAGATCTAGGCGACAATACGCGACGAATGTGCAACTGGACTCACCGGCATCGAGGATCCTCTGCTTGACGGAGTGCTGCCTGCCGTGCCAGAACTGCCATGCCTTGATCTCGTCCTCGGGGCTCTTCTCCTCGCGGAACATCAGCATCACCACGCTCTGTTAAAATGAGCATTCGTCAAGATCAAGATATAGACCTTTTGTCGTCGAGTTACTGCCGATATAGCGCGCGATTTCCTGCTACGTCCACGTGGGATGTCCTATCTTCTATCTATATGTGGATCTGTGGAGCTATCTCATATCTGACTCGGCGTGGACTACCTATCGTCTTGTTAGGAGTGAGACGAATGATACCACAGAGATTTCTTATTTTCAAGGCCAAGAGAACTGTCGCTTGTTATTCCGGACTGCACTTAGTTTGCGCGGACATCTAGTAGACTGGAATACACAAGATGCGCTGGGTAAAAAGATTTATTAATCGCGCCAGGACTTCGAATATAGATATTGTCGATAAAAGCTGCTCGGTACGCCTTCTCGCGTTCTTTTACATCATCTCTCTTAAAAAAATCATCGAAACTACGTAGAATTTTTGTTCGAAGTTTTATCCAAAATCTCAGAAAATTCCGACATGACGTGAAAAAATCACAAATTTATTTCCAAGTTCATCCTAAACGTATAGCAATTCGCTTTTAAGACGTGGAATTAATTATTTTACCACATCGTTATGTACCAAAGGTGTGCGGATTTTATTGATATTTGAAACAGGGTATAAACCGTTACAGCAACAAACCGTCCCCTTGGCAAGGTTAAATTTTCACACGGTTCCTCGATGTACCTTTGAAAAATCTGCGGACCCCGCAAGGTCAGTAAACCCATTAGCCGCAGATTCGGTCGGTTTCTAAAAATCCATGGCGTCTTCCCACGTCCACCCACGGGCCAGGAAGGCCATAAAGCTCGCGGCGACAAAAGTGCCGAGGTACCGTAAAGCTTTAATCTCCGCGGAGTGGGTACGACGAAAAGTCCCGACCTTTTCCGCGGGCCTCGCGTTCTGCAGCGGTACCACGCCTCGTCTCTCTCGCTCGCGCGCGGCGGCCACTAGCGCCGTCTCTCTCGCTCGCGCGCGGCGGCCACTAGCGCCGTCTCGCTTCCGCGGCGCCCGGCGGTCCGAGCCGCTCGACGCGAGAGAGGGGCGACGGCCGGCGTGTGTGCGCGCGATAGAGCCGTGATTTTTCGTGATTCGGGTGAATGGGCGAAGCATTAGGTATGTATGCGGTCCAGTCGGCGTATGTCGCCGTCGGTCGCCGTGCGGGAGCGCCGATGCGTGCTCGGCCGCCACCTCGGGAGGTGTCCCTCCCGGCCCGGTCCAGATATGCGAATACCGTTGATCACGCGCTCCACCGGGGTGAACGTTCGATTTGTAATTAACGAGGAAGTCGTAACTCGTCACCGGGAAAACTCGCTCTTTATCAGAATGGAAATTGCTAACGGTATGGAATACTGCCAATTAAAGGCGCGCCGTCGAGGACAAATGATCCCGCTCCACTTTTTTATCATCTCTCTCTCTCTCGTTCCCCCGCGCTCGCGGCCCGCCTCCCTCTCTTTTTCTCCTCCCCGTGGGACCCGGGTCTGTTTATCGGGAGGGATCGCCGAAGTCGGCGATTTCACTCCCCGCGTAACGGTTCGAGAGCCTTATCCTGGCGAGATAGCGGTAGGACCGTTCGCGAGACACCTCGCCGGTAGACGTCTCTTTGCCCTTCCATTAGAGACCCTGTACGTTACTCGGTTGGTAGACTCGACTCGTTTTTCCGACGATCGTTTATTTCCGCGTTGTACGTCTTCTCCTACTTAACTCGGCCTGATTACTCCGGAGAGACGAGTAGTTTGCTCGTATGCGCCCAACTTATCGGACGGATCTGACCGAACGAGGGCTTCTCTCGTCACGGTTAACATTTCTGATGCCAATGGATAAACATACTTTTCCTTTTAGATTTAATGCCCTCGACGAGGTGGAAACTTGTGAAATGTCTCGTGCTATCGAGGGAAGATATTGCCATTTTTTACCATCGATGGAGCTGGCCGGAATTGGATCATCGAAATGAAAATAAGCGATACTATGGCCAATGTGGAGCAAGGAACTGGAGTTGCAGAGAGCGGGAGTTAGGACGAGTTAAGGTGAAGTGAAACATCCTTCAAATCAGTCGATTCGAATACAACACTTTTTTTTAAGGGTATTATTTCGAAAAAATTATTTAACTTAGCCCAGACCAAAACCAAAATGGCGTCGAGCTTTCATATTTCGATCGATATACAATTATCGAAGGCTCTGATATGAGAATTGAAAGGGTCAGGACAATTTTACGACAATTTAGAACACTCTGGTAATCGATAAACTCGCATTTGAACGAGATAAAGGCAAAAAAAGCGTTGTATGCGCTTCTATGCTAAAACGATGGGAATACGAGGTCTCGGGGTGAAAATTTAATTGACTTGGAAATCACAGATGGCGCAGGTGGTCCCTCTGCAGTTAATTAGGGTCCCAGAAAGCATGAATCCAGAGGATTTCTGGAGTTTAACTTCGATTTCTTGATATTTATTGTACGAAAACGACAAGTGGAGTATGCCATTTGATACAATATCCAATATAACTCGACACAGCTGTCAATATAAAAACCAACGTCGGCGACATAGGCATTTAGAAAAATCTTCTTTACCGACGTCGACCAAGTTCCTCGATGTGTTTCACTTCACCTTAACATTTCTGATGCCAATGGATAAACATACTTTTCCTTTTAGATTGAATGCCCTCGACGAGGTGGAAACTTGTGAAATGTCTCGCGCTATCGAGGGAAGATATTCCCATTTTTTACCAGCGATGGAGCTGGCCGGAATTGGATCATCGAAATGAAAATAAGCGATATGCCAATGTGGAGCAAGGAACTGGAGTTGCAGGGAGCGGAAGTTAGGATGAGTTAAGAGACACCCGAAGGGGTTCGATTCTCACCTTGACGGTCTGTCCTGTCTTCAAGAGTGGCTTGTCAGGGTCCGGCACGTAGTCCAGGGTGATCCCATAGAATTGGCCCTTGTTGATGTAGGTTATTCTGTCGTCTTCCCGTCGCTGCGACGTGCTTATCGGCGACTCCAGGTGATACTTGAATCCGTAAGCCGAGTAGCTGCGGAGCAATAGCGGTAGCCTCTATATTTTCTTTTTATCATTAGACCTGGTATCACGGGATGGTCTCGTTACAGATGACGGGGGAAACGGGGCGGATTTCGAGGAAATGGGTGCCAGGAGCAGCTGTCGGGTCAAATTGTCAGTACCCGTTGAAGGGACACGACATCTCGCGCGTTGTAGGTACCATTTACTTGCGGAATTGCTGCCGGCGCGAGTCGGCGATAATATACCGTACTCCGGAGGCCGCTCGGTGTAATTTTTACTTGCCAACCACGTCGATTCTAACCACTCTGCCCGTTATTTAGCGCCAGGGGTTAATTATAGAAATTAGTATTTCGCATCGGGGAAATTACGCGCGATATATTCTTTCAATCTCGCCTCGTAATTGTTGGATGACCGGGAGAGTGCTCAACGTACTTTGGGTAATTTCTTTCATACGAGAGAGCGGACATCTGCGATAGTCCTTAATTCTTATTTCCTTCCACTTGATATTTTTTTCCCATTTAAATAAGGAGGATCAAGTCATATCAGCAGGTACAATTTATCCGCGGAAGGGTATACTTCCCATCACCAGTGAATTATCACAAAGCCTAGAACTTTTATCGGACATTCGTACTTTCCCTCTTGAAAAGTCAGCCTCGTCCGAATCCTTCGATCGGTACACTGGCATCGGATCCGAATACGAAGAAAAGTGAGGAACAAACTTTCTAAAACCCGACATAAATTAAAATGGGGATTTCCACGTGTCCGCCCACGTGGAGTTGCGATCCGCCGTATCAAATTCGAAAAAGCGTTCGATAAGAAACCATCAGCCGACCCACGGGGTTGCAATTACACGTCCAGCCGTGCCGAACTTCAATTTCGAAGCGTTTATCCGCCGAGGTTTCCGCGAAACGTACTCGCAAAACACCACCTTCGAGAGGTGTACCGCATTCACATGAAGGATACACGGCGGAGAGAGAAACAAGGAAAAAAAAAAAAGAAGAGAAAAAAAGACGGACGGACGCACCTTGGGCACGGTTTTGCACGCGGGCGCAGAAACTCCGTCGCGATTTGCTGAAATTACGTCTCCGTGCGCAAGACGGGGCGTTATGTGGGTAATTTTAGCCGGAGTTTTCGCAACTTTGTCCCTCGGTAACCGGCGTTTCCCCCTCGTGCTCGGTGCGCTCATGTGGGGGTTCGTTCCGTCTCCCTCTTGCTCCAGCTCCGGCGCGTTCCGCGTCCTTCTCCGCGGGCCCGATCCCAATTATTGCTGATAGGCTTCGAGCACTTGTCAGCAATTTGTGTACCAGTCGATCGCACGCCTAGCGCCCGGAGCGCGATCGTTTCGAAAAGCTCTATCACCTCTTGTCACGCTATCTAGAGGAAGTGGGTATATCTACCTTGGTTGAGCGGCGTCGCCGCGCGGCCTGTACCTTTCCTGCCTAGTTAGCCTATCGCAATCGGCCGGTCGGCTAACTTTTAACAATATTACGTATATACACTCGCGCCTATCTATAACGTCGACTACAACGCTTTCGTATTTTAATTTTTAATGGGGTCGCTGGAACTCGACGGAGATAACTGCCCGTGGCGGGTTAACGCCCTGTTCTTGCTGTCGGCCTGCCGCCTACCAGCTATACCGGACCCGACCTAACGCGGGCTTAAGGGGATGTGAAACTGGCATCAGAGGGGTCGTTCATGAAACTTTTCTCCGAGTGTACCGAGTCGTTTAAAACATCACAACGTGAATACGGAGGGTATAAGGGAGGGCCTGAAACCCTTGAAATTTAATTTTTCATAAAAAATCTTGAAAGCACCGATATAGAAATTTTCTAAATATTGATATTTCACGGCCGTCAGGACCGTCCTTACAGCCTCCATATTCACGTTGTGAAGTTCGAAACAATTAGGTACACCCAGTACGGAGAAAAGTATCATATACGAGACCTCTCTGTCGCCACTTTAGAATCACCTTAACGCCGACCGAACTTCCACCGTGTTCGTCGTTCGTCGTTTCCATCGCTCTTAATATTCGGATTTCACCCATAGCTTCTGAAGGCGACATGAATGTACCATCCGAGACCTTGTCGAAGGACAGGGTGAATTCTTAAAGCATGGTAGGGTGGTGGTAGCGACTTACATTTTTGATATCTGGATCTTGTCGGCGTCATTTTGCCGGCCGAAATCGTGCCATGGCCTTGACCTTGGTGGATTGGGGTTGGGGTTGGTAGCACCTGCCGCCACCAATCCTCCGCGTTGGACCTGCGCCTGAGCGTGGCCCTGCTGCAACTGCAGCTGCAGTGGCTGGTGGTGGATGACGGCGCCACTCTCGAGGACCACCGCGGCGCCCGCCGTGGTTCCTCCGGGACACAATTCCGTGTAGTCAAACGACGACTGTTGGCAAAGTAACCGCAAATTAACCGCAAATTGACGATCCCGTCTTAAACCTAGAATCTGCGAGATCAGAGATCTTGAAGTGTACATAATTAGCCCTTTGCGTGGTCTACAATTACAACGTTCAGGTATTCCGCAGGAATTTCCGATTTTTAACCCCCCCTCGGAGGCTCGTGAAAAATCGGTCCTCCTTGTCACATTATTTTCATTGATTTGCATTACGATTTACATCCCATGGATTACATTAAACGGGAGAGCTTTATTAATTATCTCGGTGGATTGCGCACGTAGCAGCCCAGCGGCGGCATTTTTGCCGGCCCTTTATATACGCATATCAATTAACGAGATTGGCTCCTTCCTGGCAGAATTTTATTCCCCTCGCCGCAATGACAAGGATAGTCGAGCCCATCGATAAAACCGACAGCCAAGGTGGAAAAGCGAGGAAAAAAGAAAAGTCAGAAAAGACACGAGTACTGCCAGCGGAGCCCGATCGACGATCTCGGCACAAAGACGGCGTCGATTGGCCGTTTACGAGCTCGCTAATGGGCCGTCGCGGCGGCCGCGGACTCGCGGTCGTCGTTATTAATTGTAGGTTATTGCCGGTTCGGCGCGCGTCTTCGGCAACGACGTCCACGTCCTCGGGCCGAGCGGCCAAGGTATCTCGCACCTCCACCTTGATCCTCGTTGGCGGGCCCAAGGGGAGATCCGGAGGAGCCCGAGAGGGGAAGGTTGTCACGCCGGGAGAAAGAGGAAGAACCCGTCGAGGTCTGCGGTCTCGTAAAGTCAAACCGCAGCGCGTCGAGTGGCGCCTGTTAATAAGTGGTTGCCCGAACGTCCTTCGTGCGTTACGTCTTCATGTCGTTCCGCAGTTTCGACCGGAGAGCGGGACCAAGAACCAAACCCGGGCCCTTTATTACGGCTTTGGTCCCACAAAGCCCGGAAAAAGTGTATCGATCCCTCCTCTGCGTGGGTGATAAGGACAAATAATAAGAAAAATCCAGGAATTTTCCGGAAGGACCGAAGCTAGAGATCAGAACGTCGAACGGCTTTTCCCGCGATCGAGGGAAGCCTTTACATCCGGATTTTAAACTCTCATCGAGATCTTGGCACTTCCTACTTTACGGCTCATTGCTCCGAGTCTTTACGGCCTGTAATTCTGTTAAATTTCATGCTTTGCGTTTAAAGAATGATTTATTGGCATTTTTATAGCGCACTGTCGTTAACCGCAACGGCTTGGTCCGCATTAAGAGGACTGTCAGGCCGAAGCTTATTGGTTCTTTTAACCGGGGATAATAAGTGTCCCGATGCCAGAGTCGGATTGATTTTTTCCATCCGGTAAAAGGAACGTAAATCATGCATCGATGTCCAATTATATTAACAGCGCGTGATAATTATCCTGTTTCTTTCTTTTGCAATTGCGGACTGACCTGATGCAGAGCTGTGGGTGGATGGTGGTCCTGTCTGGGCGTGACGGCGTCGGCGCCGATGCCGGAGTCCGGGCTGGGAAGATCAACGGTCAAGACTTTGCTGCTGCTCGACGTGGAGCGAATCGCGTGTGTCGTAGCATAAGAGCTGGGTACAACCTCGTACCTCGTGTACGAAGCCGTGGTGGTCGATAGGGACGAGGAGGCCGAGGACGCCAGCGGGGGCAGGGCGTCGCCGGCGACGTAGACCGCCGCGGCGGCGGCCTCCTGGTGCAACCCAGGGTTCCCCGTGTTCGCTCCGGTAGTGCCGGAAGTCGACGTGTATGCCGTCGACTGCAGTCGCGGACTGCACGACGAGTAGGGGTCGTAGGGGCTTCCATATTGCTGCTGCACCTGAAAACCCACAACGGTCCGTCAGAGATACACCTGTTCATCCCCTTTCGGCACACCTCCCTAAAGATGCGATCCCTTGACAAATCGATCGCTTCGAAGATCAGAAATTATTAGATCAAAAGAACCATCTCCCCTCAAAAAATCCCACTCCGCCGTCATCTCCAGGAGTCATTGCCGATTTTCTAAATCAACGAAGAAAGACTGAAGTCCTGGATCTTGTGCGCCGAGTCTAATGAAGGAAAGATCAATCTCGGGATCGTCGATCGTTCCCGTGGTCTCTGGTTCGGCAGCTTCCGGTGTGGGAATCCTGGATAGGTCGGGGGGGACGGGGAACGTCTCGGAAGCCCTACCTGAAGTTGGTGCTGGTGATGGTGGTACATCCCTGGGGGCGTCGGGCTGTCTGGCTGGGTCTGCTTGTGTCGCTTGTTGGACTGCTGACCCCCTCGGGAGGAGCTGAGGTCCTCGGGCTCCCTTTTGACCCCGACGATGCCCTGGCCGGCCGAGCCGTCGTGGCGCAGGGACTGCGGACTCAGCGGAAGCGGAAGCCCACCCTGGAGGCTCTGGCCCGGACTGTGGGACTGCTGGTTGTACTGGTGGAGGAATTGGTGGAGCTCCCCACCGCCGGTCCCCTCGGCGCCCTCCATGCGATTCGCCGAGCCGGGCCCCGGACCTGGGCCCGGCGCCTCCTGCACCAGCAGCTTCTGCCCCATCACACCCCTAAACACATTCCAAGGAGACTTCCTTTATTCTCTCCTTATGCTGGCGGACATCCGGAAATTCCGAGCAACGAGCGCGGGATAAAGTGGAGTTTCCTTTTATCCCTTAACTTCCTCTTAAGATGTCGAACCACCGGAAACGTACATACGTGGGTGCGGTGATACGTATCCTTGTTAAACATAATGCATTGCCGGCACACAACCGATACGCGGTTTATTTTTGGTAATACGGAAGATCGCAATTGTTTACGATACGGGGATAATTTTTAAGCGGATAGTTACACGGATATCTTAGATGTAATCAATGGTAAGTACAGAAAAAGATGGTTTTACGCAACTGTTACGATGGTTAAATCGATCCTACTCTTTTCTGTCTCGTAATACCCCTTTTGACAACAAAAAGCATCCGATGGATTTATCTTGTTAATGCTGGGCAATTTCCACGGCTCTTAAACGAGCAGGTACGGACGGTAGGAGTAATTCGGTAAAATTGACCGTGCGATTTAACAGAAGCGGAAACGCTGAAAGCAAGGTGCTACCAGCTTTCTCTTGACTCCAGAACGAGATTAGCCGATAGCTGTTAGCTTTTAGTATTTTCACTTCTAGCGTGTCGGTAGGTATTTCGTTTTCCGTTCAGAGTGGCACAACTTCGCGCGTTAAATACGGTCTTTTTCTGGATTAAACGATAAACGGGCATATTAATCAATAGCGGCACGGGTGAAATTGGGTGCGTTCCAAGTCTCCGGAATCGTGTGCGAAGTTAATCATTAGCGTCGATTTTTACAGCTGGATATTCACAGAGGTAAGTTACGCCCCTAGAATGTTGGGAAACACGGGACATTTGCCGGGCTCATCTTCAGGTGCCTAATTATCTTCGTATCGAGTGGTCATCTAACACACGATAAGCGTGCGTAACACCGATCATGAAGATTCCATATTTGCATTAGGCCATTCCTACTAGACTTTCCACCTATCATCGGTTGAGATTTATTGACCACAGAAGGAAACATTACGCGTTGCAGTGATTTATTTGGATATCTTTTCCCTGACCGTAAGAGGAAAGAGCACACGCAGTACGACGGATTAGCACTCGGTGCGAATGCAAATGATGACCGTTTAGCATCGTGTCATCCCACATACACTCGGGCGGCTCAAATATAATGATATGCACGGGACGTCGATGCACCGATCGAGCAAATCTCCTTAAAATTAAAGTAACAATTTCTACCTCTAAGTTCTCGGTAACACCTTCTATTGAATTTCTTAAATAATTTATTGAAAAATCTCCAAGGGAAGGACACCGTACGTCTCGTCTGTAAGGACATCGTAAAGAATGCCTGGATCGTTAGATAAGCGAGTTTATGGGATGCGTTTGTTATCGACTAATAATTCATTTACATATATTCTTTCCAATAGCTCGAACAAAGAGCACAAGTAATACGGCGGATTAATACTCGGTGTAAATGCAAATGGCAACTATTTAGCGGCATGACGTCCGACGACATCCGGCATCGGTCAAACGTAATTTTACACTTGGCTCATGCGCGTCCCACAATTGCGACTTCATTAGATATAAATGATTTCTCAATTTATGATATATAAAAATAGCTTGTAATACTTCGTCTAAGGTAGTTTGCAGCTTATCGACATTCTCCAGTATTTAAACTCTTAAGTGACGTTCTAGTTCCGATTTATTGGGTTTGCTAAGGAGATTTAAAAAATGCAGGAGAAAATATCCGCCGTTTGTCAGTTCGCCCCACAAAGCGTCGGCATTTGGAGCCAGGCGAAATTATAAGTTGAATGATAATTTATTTAGATATATTTTTCCCCAACCGAGGGAGGGAAGGGAAGGAGTGACAAGTCGGATTAGCACTCGGTGCGAATGCGAATGGCCGAGTGTTTGTCATGCCATTTACCATCCTTCGAGTATAATCTTGCGCTCCTTCGGCTTCGCGCCGTAATTCAGTACCGTTCGGAAATAATCCCCCGACCTTCGATTCGCTTCTAAGAAGGCGAAAAATCCCTTTTAAGTAGACGGTGGAAACGACGTACGTTTAGATGAAATTTATGCCACTCCGAATGAATCCGAATTTACTGGCCGAAATCGAGGCGTCCCTTCGCTAAGACGGTTTACTTACGAGCATACTTTTTCCTTCCGACGTAAAAAAAAAATAAAAAAAAAATAAAGGCAAGCATGACCAATTATTTAAATGCTCGCCACTCATAAAAATGTCGGCTATTTATCGACGCGCACTTTTCCGTACAAGTGACAAAGATTTCCGACAAAAAAAGCCCGTAATCATCGCGGCGATTGTACAGCGCATGGCAATCACGGTGCAGCATTGTTCTCAAATCATAAATACATTGTTGCAGGAAATAATCGATGCACGGTCGCAAGGGTTACGAGCGGTAAAACGTCTCGAAGGAAACGACTATGCTCAGCGATCTGGTGTTCAATTTTTTAATCATCTGGTACGTCATATCGGGCGCCATGCACGAAGAACATCGTCCTTAATTCCTGGAGCAAGGAAGAATTTCTGCCGAAATGTTTATACGTTTCGAACAAACTACCAGAAGAATCGACTTTTCAATGTGAATTATATGAAATGTTTTACGAGTCGCACTCGTTCCGCTGCGTCAAGATCGTCTTTGTAAAGGAGCGCCGGGAAGTGCACTGTACATCCTGGCACTCCGACAAAGACGCCGAGTTCAGATTCCACGTCGTGGTAAACAGCGCGGTGCGCAATACGCGGAGTGTTTAAGGCGTTATATTTAGGCATGATAATGAATATCCACGAAATAATGGCACACTGGAAGAACGTGCGTCGTAAAAGGAGTAATAACGGAGCGGTGAGCTTAGCCCTGAGGCGTTATCAGGAATTTCTCGATTCCCTCTCGATTACCGGGGGATCTCGAATCCAGCATCCCCACGTGTACCTCATAGGGTCCATTCGGTACTTAAGGTGAAGTGAAACATCCTTCAAATCAGTCGATTCGAATACAACACTTTTTTTTTAAGGGTATTAGGCCAAACTGTCCAAAACTTTGACACATCACTCCTGATCAGCTAAGAATTGTCCTGACACATTAAAAACTTGGATCTTTCAAAAAAATTTTTCAACTCAGTCCAGACCAGAACCAAAATGGCGTCGAGCTCTCATATTTTGATCAATATACAATTATCGAAGGCTCTGATATGAGAAACGAAAGGGTCAGGACAATTTTACGAGAATTTAGAACACTCTGGTAATCGATAAACTCGCATTTGAACGGGACAAAGGCAAAAAAAGTGTTGTATGCGCTTCTTTGCTAAAACGATGGGAATACGAGGTCTCGGAGTGAAAATTGAATTGACCTGGAAATCACAGATGGCGCAGGGGGTCCCTCCGCAGTCAATTAGGGCTCAGCAGGCATGAATCCAGAGGATTTCTGGAGTTTTACTTCGATTTATTCATAATTATTGTACGAAAACGACAAGTGGAATATGCCATTTGGTACAATACACAATATAATTCGACACAGCTGTCAATATAAAAACCAACGTCGGCCACGTAGGCATTTAGAAAAATCGTCTTTATCGACGTTGATCAAGTTCCTCGACGTGTTTCACATCACCTTAAATCCGTCCCTGAGGATCCGATCCCCCCGAAAGGAGGAATTTTCCCAGCGAGGTCGCAATTCCTGGGAGGAGGAAGGCGCGGCGAGGAAGCGTCCTCGGGCACGGTCCCGGGGCCTCCTCGGGTGCCTCGTGGAAACCGAGGCGGCGGGCATTATGCGAAGTAGTTAACATGTTATATTTAGCATGATAATGCGTATCCACAAAAGGCGAGACCCTTATAAACTGCCAACGCTTTCGGTATATGTGATCTTTCCTCCATTCTTCTCCCACTTCTTCCCGCTCCTCGAGGAGCACCGGCTCCGAGGAGTGGTGTGGTGCGGGGCTTTACCCCACGGTCAGATGCTCCCGTACAATGGGCCTTTTTCACTTGATACCTGATCTCTCTCTCTCGGCCTCGCTCTCACCCCGAGGCCGTCTCCTTCCTTTTCCACCCCGACCTCGTGCGCCGCGACGCCGCGCGACGGCCCCAGGAGACGCGTCGCGACGCGGGCCCCGCGGCTATGGGGACCCCATGAATTCGGCTTAAATGAAATGGATCCGTTTTTAGTGCCCGCCAACCCGAAGGCGCGTAATGCGATGCTAATCCGCGAGACGAGATCACGAGAGATCGGCAGATCGAGAGGGAGAGGGAAGAGGTCGGGACAGGGGGCGAGAAGGAGAGAGAGAAACGGAGGGACGGCGATCGCTAGTGGGCCTTTTTACGTGCGAACCCTGCACCTCGTCATTATCTTGGAATTCGTCACCGATTCGCTCGTTGAGCACGTCGGCACAGCGTACGCGCATCTCTTTTCGACTTTCCCAACAGCAACTGTCGTTTCGTTAGACGTTTTTTTTTCCTGCATTATCCTAGTATCCCTAGAATTTTCGGGATATTTTAATCTACCGGCATTCCTAGGTAATCCTGTCAACGGATTGGAAGGAAGGAGGTACGCCGAGAATTTTAGAATTTACGGCAAAATACAGAAATTCCGCGCATGACGAGCCGCACATCGGGCACTTTCGTCTACCCGGTTCTTTCCTCGGCATTTAAAGCTATATTAATTTCCATGTACAATGCGCGCATTAAACTCGTTATAATCCCATCTTTACAAGTTTACCGTAAGATTATGCAACCTCCGACCTCGGAGGCAACATTCGGCGCGAGTTTCGCCTTACGGTATCGCGGAGGACAAACGTTCTCGGCGGAGTCGTGGCCGCGCGCCACGCAAGGTGGCGTGCCCTCTCGCGTGAATTTCCCTGCCCCCTGGTATTAAAAGATAACCTAAGATACGGAAATACTGTTAAACGCAGGTGTGGCATGCCGTAAATTAGACGGCTTTTCTTTCTTCTCGGTAGCTTTTCAGTCGGGCCCAATTGAAACGTCATACTTTGATGCATAACGC